AGTGTCCTTGAGCAAGATGCTGAACCCCAAATTGCTCCTGATGCTGTGTATCGGTGTATGAGCGTTAGTTTCTGTTGGTCGGAAGACAAGAAAGGTGCCATACAAGTACAGTCCATTTACCATTTACCCTAACAGGACCACCACCCAGGGACTCAATTTTCCCCATAAACCATCATAAACAATATAGAAAAGGCGTCAGTAAAAATGTTGAGAGCTCAAACAGCAAACAAGGTCAATTTTTTACTTTTTTTTAATATTTCATTTTTGGAGGTTGCTTATACAGGTCTAATGTTTGCTAAACAGAAAAGATAAACGTTTTTTTTATATGTGGGATTTAAGAGAGAAACACTACTGGGCATGTGCAGTGGGCCGCACAGCACAGAAGCAAACCAGAAACATCCATGGTGGGCCCCTACTGACGTCTTGCTTGTGGTCATTTTGTTAATCTCACATGTTTATACAGGGATACGTGTGCCATGTACATTTTGTCACACTACAAGGTAATAATGCAGGGCCCTTCTCAAAGCCTTAATCATTTTAGTTCAGCTTCAGTTGTTCATATTACCGAATAAATGTGCAGTTAATCAAATTACCACAAATCAAATGAGACACAGTGAATATAAAACATTGGCAAGCTCTAAAGCTCTACCACTTTTAGCTTTGTGTTAGGGAACATTTACTGTATTGTCTTATCATATCAGCCATGTTTGCAGCAGCAGCAGGCAGCTGTTTTTTGCGTAAAAGCTCTGATAAACCCACTGTACACTTCCTGCCCATCACCAAACAGACAGAAAAAGTTCCAGATTAACATTAATTGGATAAACAAAATAGCAGCTGAAACAGCCAAATGTTTTTCTCAGGAGCTGCCAGAGAACCGACATAAACAGAGTAAAAACTGGACTTACATTCATCAAGTGGCCAGGCACGCGACCGTGGGTTGATAACGTTGCTTTCTCTCGGTTAGAGATCTGGCACATGTTAACATAACTTAGTAAGTTGGTAATATGTTGAGGCTGTGTTTGAGTTTGAGTTTTATTAATGCACCTTTAAAAAATACACTTTCAGTGTTTGAACTAGTAAATGCAGTGCAGGTTTTTTGCACTCAGATACACGATGCAACATCAAACACATGTCAGCTTGGATGAGACCCTTTGGTAAAGGGGCAGTGTCTCTAACTATCAGGTGGCCTGCCTGTATATTGCTGTGTATGACCATAAAAACTGTTATAATATACTTCTCTTCCTTCTATAGGCGTGGTGTTCCCGTACCAGTCTCAGAAAGGACGCTACCATTTTAACTTCTTTGAAGCCCAACAAGCATGCCAGGATCAGGACTCCACTCTGGCTACATCTGAGCAGCTCTTTACAGCGTGGGAGGAGGGGCTAGACTGGTGTAACGCTGGCTGGTTGGCTGATGGCACAGTGCAGTATCCAATCACAGTCCCACGCGACGGCTGTGGGGGCCTGGAGTTAGCTTCTGGTTTGCGCAGTTACGGACAACGACATCGCCTCCTCCACCACTATGATGCTTTCTGCTTCTCCCCTGCTGTCAAGGGTCAGTATGAGTGTGTGTGAATGTTTTAAACCTACAAATATCACTACAAAACAATCTGTTCATGATTCTCTTCTGCATTAGGGACTGTGTACTTCTCAAAGCACCCGACCAGGCTCAACTTCACAGACGCGATCCAGGCTTGTGCCACTAGTGGAGGTCAAATTGCCAAGGTGGGCCAGCTGTACGCCGCCTGGAGGCTGATGGGATTGGACCGCTGCGACGCTGGTTGGTTGGCTGATGGGAGTGTCCGTTATCCTATCACAAAGTCCCGGGCTTACTGCGGCCCACCAGAACCAGGGGTGCGTAGCTTCGGGTTCCCCCCTCCCTTCCTGAAATTTGGCGTCTACTGTTATCGGTAGACACTTTGGCTCAACAAAAGACGAAAACAAACCATTTTAAAAGCATACTGGTTCAACGCTCTGCCTGAGAGGTTAGAATTAGCCGTAGCCTGGAAGAGCAGATTAGCAATTAGCCAGTTTGTTCATTTCTGAGCTATCTTGAGGCCATTTAAGTTCATTGCGCTCCACCTCCATAAGACTGTAACGGATAGTGTACTTTATTACCAGTCAACAACTGTTGAACTATGTACATTAGTCATGTGATGCCACTTCTACTTAGACAAAATGTCTACACTATATGGCCAGAAGTTTGTGGACACACAAGCATTACACTCTTGTGTAATTGTTGAACATCTCATTCCAAACCCATGGGCATTAATACGTTGCTATTACAGTCTCCACTCTTCTGTGAAGGCTTTCTACAAGATTTTGGAACTTGTCTACAGGAATTTGATCTCATTCAGTCACATCGTGTGAACAGTTACAGAAGTTGGGTGATTAGGCCTGGCTCACATTGGGTATTCCAGTATATCATAGGTGTTGGATGGAGGTTGAGGTCGGGGCTCTGTGCACACCAGTCAAGTTCTTCTACACCAATTTCGGGAACCATTTATTTGTGGACCTAGATTTGTACACAGGGGCAATATAAAATGAAATATAAAAGGACACATTGTCTAAAATGCTTTTACTGTAGCATAAAGGTTACCCTTAATTTCTAAGGTGTCTTACCCTGACCATGAAAAGCCAGATCAAAAGTACATAAATGTTTTATACTGACAGGGGTGTCCACATAATATTGGCCATATAGTGTATAATAATAATAACAATAAAAAGAGAACATCTTTCCGTCTTCTCGGATTCAGTTATAATTGCTGCATTTTTTTCCTCGCAGATCAGATCAAGCTAGTCTTGCTTCAAATTCTTTGCAGCTGTTTTGAAATTTGGCTGTCCAGAACTGACTTTAATTCACAGGTGATTCATTTCAAACTCAGGGAAGGTGTTCGGACTCAAATTGATTCACTTCTCTTCAACCATACCTCAATCCTTCATCTACCCTGTATTTATTCAACCAAACGTTTTACATTGCCGTTTTCAGCAGTGACCTCCATAACATTGCAGTCAGACAGCAAAAAATTAGACATTCAGTCTTGGAGGCTTCATACTACAACATCAAACTTCTGGGTTAAGTGCCTTGCTAAAGGGCAACTTGAGGGAGTGGAGAGTATTTCTCATTATATTCTGGTCAAATCTTTCCAGTTACTCCATGATTGTACACTCACTAACTATAGGTTATTTCCACCAGAGACTCTTTCTGTCTTTCTAACACTGTGAAATATACTGGAGTCTTTGTTTGTCTCCTGAAATGTCTGTGTATCCCATTTTATAAAGTATAATGCATCTCTTATTTCATTTTTCTGGGTGATTAAGGGTAGTGCTCTGTGATGGAGAAAGCAGAAGTTATGAGTGAGTATCTGTATTGTTGTGATATTTAAACTACCTTGTTTACATCCACTGTGGAAGAAGAATCAGTGTTTCATTACATAAATGTATCTTTTTTTGTTTTTCATTATATATGTCTATGCATTTGTACTATTTTCTACAAATTAATAAAAACATTAGTGTAAAGACATTTTTATTTGAGGCACATTTGTTAGAAGAAATGAACTGATTTAGGAAAACTATACTTCAAACTTTTAAAGGTCCAGTGTGTAGGATTTAGTGGCATCTGGCAATGTAGTTGTAGATCGCAACTCTCTCGCTTCACCCTGCTCTTCCAAGCGCGAAGGAGAAACTACAGTGGCCGTCAAATGTGTGAAAAATGTAAACGCCCCTATTAGAGCAAGTGTTTCGTTTGTCCCTTCTTGGCTACTGTAGAAACATGGCAGTTCAACGTGGTGGACTCTATAGACTCGGGGACAGTGCTTTGCATGAGTGAGTCTAGACCTTTAGTTCCTTCACTTGATTCAAACCTGAAAATGCTAACATTCGGATATTATAATATATGTTAGGTGTTAACATCAGTCATTAATTGATTAATATACACTGACAGGAATTCAGCATAATGTTTGAGGCAGTCTGTCATGAATTAAAGTACCATTTGTTTCCCTGAACAAATCAGAGATACCGGTGGTGATTTGGAGGTTAGGTGTGGATACAGACTAAAACTAAAATGTTGGCAAGTAGAAATGTTGAAAAGTCAGGACCTCACCAAATAGCATTTAGACAACCAACAGGCTGTTCCTACAGTCACGGCTAGAACTCAAATGAATAACATGTTCAGAAATCCTTTTTGATGCCCTTTAATTGCTGGATTTATGAAATACTTTTCTCAGATTTTTTCAGGTGCTTTCATAAACCACCGCTGCTTGGTGTGCTATCAAGGTGCAATACAGTTTTACTTACAGTCCAAACAGGAATGCCAGGGTAGAGAGGTGAGATGGGTCACTGACCCATACAAAACAGCTACTGTATGTGCACAGCGTCACTCTGTCTGGGCACGATGCACTTTTTAGATGAGTGGAGTCCAACACGTTGCTACGCCCTCCTGCATCCGCGTGTGAACAGAAGTCCCAGTGATTTTATGGCCAACTGGTTTTATAAACACATCCTATTTACACCTGCTGGCCAAACATGAGTGGACACATACACACACAGGGATTACATGCCTACACACACACACACACACACACACACACACACACAGATCGCAAACATGGACAGTGTAACCACACATTGATACAGTGCTACTCTCCCTGTTACACACACACACACACACACACACACACACAGCAGATCTTTTTGTGGTGTCTGTAGCGATGAAGGTAGTCGCTGTAGAGCCTGATAAAGGAGCTATTTACTATGTGTTTTTTTTTCACGGTTGAGTTCCACAGGAAGGTAAAAACAAACTAAATGCAAGGTTTGTTCCTCTGGCTTAGAGAGTTTACCTCAAATTTCACTGCTCTAGGGAAAGATGATGTTTCCAGAAAGCGACAGAAATCTCTCTTTTCAGAAGTTAGTGTATACAGTGCAAAGACCCCTGCTTAATAGAAGGGTATGTGTGCAGTGACCCCTGGGTAAAAACGTGATAATAATAATGTCACAGAGACGGATGATTCCAAGTTTTATTTGGCACAGCACAGTACAGTATACTGTATGTTCACATCAGGATTCGGGATCGAAACAAAGTCACAACAGATGTGTGTTTGCAATGTTACACATATTTTGGTTTATTTGTCAAAAGTTTATACGTCCTACTCATAATCACTCAAATGTTGGCTTCATGTTGAAATGTGAGCATATCCTGTGGTGTGATAGATTTAAATAATCCAGCTCACACCAGGAGCATCCAAATCAACACTTATTTACTTGTACAAATTGAGCTTGGTGTTCACTTTGTGGCGTCATCAGGCTCACTTATACTCTGTAGTGTGTTTACTGAAGTGTGTGTGTGCCTGTGAGAGTACCAGTTTGACTGTGTGTGTGTGGTTGTTGTTTCAATGTTTGTGATTATTTTTCTGTGAGAAGTCAGATATGGACACAAGTATCTGCTCTCAAAGTGAAGCAAATCTTGACCGTAAAAGGTCATGGTCAACATTTTTATAACCTTCTCTTCCACCTCAACCTTTTCCATTCTCAACATTTTTTATAATTTCTACTGCTTTCACAGCTCCTTTTCGCTACAATTGTGTCATTTCTCAAGTTTTAAGAAGTACATTTCGGTTGATAAGAGCATGTCACATGAAACGCAACCAGAAATCTATGTAAAGATGTCAGAAGATTTAATAAAAAAATCCATTTGTGTCTACGTTCAGCTGGCTGGTCAAAATCAGTCTCGCCCCCTTGACAAGTAACTCATAACTGCAACTTACCAGTTAATTAAACTAACAAATCAACAAACAGGTAGGTGATTAATTAATCAAACAATGAAATTGTTTGTTCTGTGTAAGTTATTGACAGATCCTGCTGTTCAGAGAATTGTAGAGAGAATATTTACAGTGAGAAATCCATTACAGCAAACACTGAATCTGACTAAGACACAGAGGTCATTGATTGCTCTTGAGAAGTCACAAACATAAACCCCAACCTGCACAACGGGGTGTGCATCTTTTGCATCAGATGACCCAATGAGGTGGACTTCAGCACCGTTCTGGAAGCTCCTCAGTGTCATACTGTAGATTTCACCTGTTACTTAGAGTGCTTCCCTTGCCATGTGTCAGCTACAGATGAGGTTTTGTTTTTTATGTGTGTGTGTTGTTTTTTTATTTATTTTTTTACTGTTTAAGGTGCACTGGATTCAAATGATTAGCACAGAAGTGACTGAAGACTCTGAAAAGTGCATGAGTGCTGACTCTTTCAATCCAGGTCTTTTGCAGTGACTTTAATCACATCTTGAAGTTGGATTTCTTTTCATCATCAAATGGAACAGCACAATCATTTCAGTATATATGATGCCCTGGTCGTGTAGTTGCACAGCGGTTCTCAGACTTGAGGTTGTGACATTATAAATTGGGGTCCTGAAAGATGGTTTATGGTATTTAAGACTAGTTCTACTGCATGTATTGCCATGTTTTTTCCCCGACCTTTTACTCAGATTTGGGATTTTATGCAATGCTGAATTTGAGTAAGTCTCAAGGCCTCCTATGATAATTCAAATAAAACAAAACCTAACTTCACAATTCTCCATGCTGTAGGTGGGAGGGGTAACATTGCTGTATTTTAAGGGGTCACAACCTTAAAGTATGAGAATCACATCCATTGCCTATAATGTAGGAAACGGTTTGTTTTACCAGTCTAAAGCGCACAGTTGTAGTCCTTAGAGTCTAAGACCAAATAAAAGAAATAAAAAAAAACTAAGAAACACAGATCTAGAAAAGTACCCTAAAAATATAGCAAAAGTCTATGTAACAATGCGTTTTACTTTAGAGAATCCAGCTGCAATCGAAAACACGTTTACTGGGCTGTTTTAGACCTCTTATCACTATATGACAATTGTATCTATCTTACTTTGTGTCCAGTGCTGGAAACTGATTGCAGAAAATTTCCTCTTGTGCATTGAGATAAAACTTCCAAATACTGGGTCACAGCTATAAATTAGATGGTATAAATACACAGAAAACTGCCTTTAGAAGGTGCAGAGTGCACTCTCCAAAATGTCAGTCAATTGCACTATCACTGTCTACATGTGCTTTAGTGTGTGTATACACATGTTAGGGAATGTTATCTTTTTGGTCGGGCATTTGCATTGGTGTCCATGCTTCTTTACAAAAGGGGTCCTTTGTGGCTCTCTGTTGTATGTCCTTTCATTCCTGCTCAGAGCAGCTTCCTCTGTTCCTGCTGGCTGCTGACCCCTTTACTTCTTCTCCTGAGCGATCTTTTGTGTAGCCTGTTGCTGTTGGTGCCAGCTGGGGGAGAAAAGGTACGCATACTGATGACATCATGTACACATAAGCTGCCAAGACTGATAAATTACGCTGAAGTGACTAGTGTGACTAAAGGATCCAGTTCAAAAGCTACCATGGACTCTTCATCAATGAGATGTTCAAATGTTAGCTCTGCAGGAGGTGTGTTTTTCTGTCTCCCCACTGATACTGAGTTTCACACCCTTTACCTTTTTCTTTGCCTCATTTCTTTCACAGTTTAAATCTCCCTGCATTGGTCTGGGTGCTCTTTCTTCTACATTTCTTGCTCATGAATGAAGTGAATTGAAAACCTGCACTAGGGGCGCCCAGGTAACCTAGGGGTTTCAGGCATTGAGAAAGAACTGCATGTCTGAGTTCGACCAGGGACCTTTGTTGACTTGGGACCGACTTCTATCTCTCACTGACACATTACTAATAGGAGACTTCACCCATGTAATCGCTTTGTTTACATTCATTCACTGTGATACAATGACAAGGAGAAGACTACTGAGTATTTCTTAAACTTCCTTAATGTTGTCCTCGCTATCAGCAACCTTTGTAGGCGTCGGCAGCCGATGCTGAAAAATAATGACGCATTTGTCTTGGATCCACCAGATCTAAATGTGGAAAAAGTTTTGAACTCAACATTATATAGAGGGGCATGTGTGTCAAAAGTACACCGTATTACAGTATATTGTTTTGTTAGTTTCTTTTGTCTAATTTCACATTGTATCTGGTACTACTTTGTTTTGGTTGTTTGGCTGAGGCTGCTAAATTCAACTGTTAAATGAGCTACACAAACAGTTTTACATTATGGACAGTAAATCCATATTTCACCATTTCCCTGCAAGCTCACCTTCTGTACATTCCACTTGTGGCTTCTCCCACTGTCCGTTTGCCATACAGCGTATCACAGGCAGGTGGCGCTGTGTGTAGCCTGCGTTACACTGATAGCGGACTATAGAGTTGACAACGTAGTGCGCTCTGCTGCTACCCATTGGGCGACCATTTTCCACCTCAGGGGGAACTCCACACGTGACTGAAAAAGAAGAAACAAAAAACATTAAAGGTTTAGTGGAAGAGTTCACAATTCACAATTCCCTTGCTTCACCCTGCCCTTCCAAGCACAAAGGAAAAACTACAAAATGCACAAAAAAGACAAACACCTATCTAGAGCCAGTATTTGGTTTGTCTGTTCTGGGCTTCTATAAGAACATGGCGGCCTCCACTGAGAGCAACCTATGACGTTTGTAGATAAAAATGACTCATTCTGAGGAAACGAAAACACAGTTCCTACATGCAAGTCATTATACACTAATGAAAACAGATCCATGAAGATTGTATTAAATTCCAGCCAATAGATCCTTGTAAATTTCACACACTGAACCCTCAAAATTCTTGTTTTTGTGTCATGGTTTAATCCAAAGTGTCTTGCAGTGCATCAAGATGCAGTGTGAATTCCCATTGTTACCTACTGAGCTCCACAGGGCTATCTATGTTCTCCAACCACAGTAAACCAAACATTTAAGGAATCCATCTGTATGTCTCATATCCCAAGTAAATTTTCCTACTAAAAAGATTTGAGAAAAAAAAACCCACTGCTCATCTGGTATTAGATTTCACTGAGGTGCTGGAGCTATAGACTATCAAACTTTTATGCACAGAACTGAATGTGAGGATGCTTTTCTACTAGAAAGAATTCCCAGAATCATACGTTGTCCAGACACATATTCTAACCCAGTAAACCTACCGGGTCCGGTCTTGCAGGTGAAGGGAAGGTGGTAGTTGCAGGGCACATCATTCCACTGTCCGCCCTCGTGCCAGATCATCACCACACAGTCCTCCCCAGAGTTGAAGTAGTTATCTGGCTGGTTGGGCCTCCAATTCTCAAAGGTCTAAGATAGTTACAGTGATGATCAATAGATATATTGATAAGATAAATGACATAGACAGTTGTTAAACAACCAAACTCACCAGAGCGCTGCCGTCTGTCCAGCGGAACTCATTCTGCACATCTTTGTCGTTAAGTCCAATCCACTGGTAGTCCTGACCATTGGCTGCATTGCAGAAAAAAATTAATTTTAGGTTTGAAATAACTTACACATGTCCGCCCATCATATTATGCTTTAGCTTTAGGCCACTGGTTCTCAAACTATGGTATGTGTACCAATTGTGGTATGCAAACTCCTTCTAGTGGTAAGTGGAAGAATCTCTGAAATATTTTTCAAAAATGAAAGAAATTAGTTTAAATAACTTTAAATGATTGCAAAATATTACAAACTATTAAACTATAAGATTGCTATTTTGTTTCAATATCAGTTGCTACGTATTCATATTTGTGCATGTACATCCATGATTAATCATGAGCTAAAATATGATGGCAAGATAGCAAGCGGACCAGGAGGACCTCTTTTCCACCAAATTAGCTCTAGTCCTTGAACCGGTTCCATTAAGTCAACAATAAATAATCTTCTTATTAAATATGCCTCATGCACGAACTGCCTGTAGCTGAATAGGGTCGGCCTAAGCTACTGTATTTTAAATAAGAATACGAATTGTACTTGGAGAGCTTTATATTTTCAGAGGCAGTACGCGGTGTGGCTCTGTGCTAACCACCCAAAGGACATGATCCCTTATCAGCTTCCCACCTGTGAACACTGTCAACTGTTTATCAAGTTTATTTATCAAAACCTGACTAGTGATGTAGCATTCATAGCCTTTAAAAGTTAGAAATTCCACCTGTTGCTTAAATATTTTGTCAGATCAGATATCTTTAGACATACACACAAGATACATATACAGATGCACACACATACAGGTATTTAAAAAAAAACAAAAAAAAAAACACTTCCATGCTGGTGGGTTTGCACACACTCAAATGCCCTTCACTGGCCCCCGACCAGCTAGGCACACAAACACACACTGACACTCACACAGCTACTCACAGTTGACAAACTGCTGCTCCTCCTGGGAGCTAATGCTGACCAGGTGGGCGTTGAGCTCCTGACAGCGTTGCTCAGCCTCAGACCAGGTGTCTCTCTCCGCAAAGTGGAGGTAACAGCTGCCCATGAACTCCAACCAGCCCTCGGCACAGTCCTGCACAGCTACACACACACATACAAACAAACATATTTGGATAAAAGTGTAAACATATGTAAAAGATTACATTTCTATACTGGTATCTAACTTCTTCTAGCTTTTCAGCTAAATGGCATTAAAAACAAGGAGCTGTTCGTTATGCTGTTTTGGTGACTCACGTGTCAAGCAGTCTTCACCAGTGAAACCATTAGGACACTGGCACACAGCGAGTTCTCCCTGTACAGAGCAGGATCCTGAACTGCAGGGGTTTGGATCACAGGGGTCTGAGATAGAAAGAGATATAGAGACTCAACATCTCAAGCTTTCTTGGCCTTACGATACAGTATGATATCAGCAGAAACACCTAAACCACATACCATCCACTACTTTAGGCTGCTCCACAACAGCAGGGGTTTCTAATGACACTGACGGTGCAGTGGTTGGGCTGGTGTACGCTAGGTCTGGAGTCACTACATAGATGGTAGGTCCTGCACGGCCTTCCTGATACCCCTCCCCTGATTGGCCAAGACTGTCAATTTGCTCAGTGTAAGTAAGCTGAGATCCTGGCGGGAGGGCGACAGAAAGCTTCTCAGTGGATGGTGTTTCATGAGGGGCTCCACTTCCTGAGATATACAAAGTGCCACTGAATTCATGATGGATCCCTGACCCACTTCCTTCCCCGCTGACCTCCACAACCCCCCGGCCCGGTTCAGGTTGGCGCACCACTGGTGGTACGGTCACTTCCATCATGTCAGTGTCCGTTAGGTAGATGACATCGCCACGTTGCTGGAAAGAGTCCACACTTGCAGAGCCGCTGCCTGAGACACCAGATGGAAAACCACTTGGAAAGCCACTGTGAAACCCTGATCCAAATGGGCGATATCCAGACACCTCCTGCTCACCGGATGGCTGGACTGTTAGGTCAACAGCGCTGTGGTTGACAAATGAAATGCCAGAAAACCAACCAGAGCCTGACCCGGAAATACCTCCTGATCCGGATGTACTTGATTCCAAGACAGCCCCACTGGTATCAATGCCTCCCTGGCCTAACTCCTCCTCTGTGAGTTTTGGGCCTTTTGACACCTCCACCATCTTCCCATCCACCATGATGATCACTGAGTCTTCACCACTACCACTGACATCTCCACTTCCACTGGTAAAACCCGATCCCGATACTCCGGAGCCAGAGAGTTGTCTGTCAAGCCCCTCCCCAGATGCACTACCCGGTTCTCCAGATGTGAAGATGACAGAGCTTTCCCCCTCTGCTTCCTGCGGACCTCCAGACGCAGACTGATCGCCGGAGAAGACGTCAGTGTGCCCACTGAACATGACATTCTGTCCTGAACCAGAGGCGTCACCACTGGCACTGGAGGTGCTGGACTCCCCTGAGATCACCCCACTAGCTGAATAATCAGCTGAACCAGAGCCAGACACATCGACAGGAACTGGAGGTAAAATGGGTTTCACTGGGGGGAAATATTAAGAATGCAGACACTAGATTAGATACTTTGTTATATATTGTTTAGCAAAAGTGAAACATTGTGTATAATTGTATTCAAATGTAAAGTAAAAGACACTTTAGACTGTTATTTTCAGGTGTCATTATTTTTATTTTCAGGTGTCTTACCAGTAGGAGCAACTTGGTGAGTTGTGGTGGTGGTCTTGTTGATAAACTCCTCTATCATAGTAATATTCACACCAGTTTCAGTTTCATTGTAGAGCACAGTAGTTTCAACTAAAAACAAAACAAAACTGAGATGATGAAGATGCACAGAAATATTAAAGATAATATTAACAAACAAACAAATAATCAAAAAAAAAAACTGAAAAAATTTAAACTACAAGACCAAGCCAAACAAGGACTTGAACAGAGAACATATTTGATCAGTCTTACCTGTGGGAGCAAAGTGATCAATTGTGACTGTTGTCTTGTTGATAACATCCACTGTCACCATGGTCACATTCACACGGGTTTCAACATGAACAACAGGAACGTCAGCTGAAAAAGGCAAAATGAGATGACAGATTAGTTCAGTTCAAGTAAATTTTTAAGAATTATGGGAACTGGGAAGTTAAGAAATACACTATACAGTGATGTGCTAAAGCTAGCACTGCTAGCTAACTTAACCATTTATTGTTTTTAAGCCATTTATCCAGTCTGAACTATAGAGGAGCCAGTGGGAGCTCCCCTGAAAACATTTGAACTTTTGGGGGGTCTCTAGAATATTGACAATATGCTATTTTTGCCGTCCACTTATATTTTCCTATATGTTGATCATGATCGATAAGAAAAGATGCTATTATTGACATGATTCATGCATGAGGGTAATTTATCACTAATTCACTTTAAAACATATACAGAATATATTCTTGCCATCAGCGTTTAAGTCTGGCAGCACAATATCATTGACTTCACTCACTTTAAGTCAGATCAGAAAAGATCAGAACAAAATGTACTTTCCTAATCAATTGCCATTATTTATTTCAGTACCCACCATAAAAACAGCGAGCTCCCCCAAAAGCCATGATATTGTTCACACATTGCATTTATCCAACAGTTTTACTTACTTTTAGCTAACTTCTTAGAAGTTTCTTCTTGCTTACTAACAACAATAGTGTTCAGGGGTTATAGCAGATTTTTTTTTTAATGAATTCTATTAATCAGTTAAGCTACTCTACAATCTATGTGCTCCCTGGCAACTGTATCTCCTGGGGTACAAGAACCACTGGCTGGGAATCACTGCAATACATTATCAAGGTGTTATGCTAAATCAAAATTAATGTTGGCAAATATTTAAGTTCTACATGTTTAATATTTTCTACTGTATAATTTATATACATATATAATAGAATTGTAGCTGGGTAGTTTAATGATTTCTGGTTCAGAAACGGTCTCTGGTGTGTATGTCCTTTCATAGCCAGTGGCAACCATCAAGTAGAAAGAGAGTATCTATTTGCCCATATCACTTCTCTTCTCTATATTCCTTTGTTATTTGGGCGAGTTATCTACCACGCCTGACCCTGTCCTACCTTTAAAACAGTAGGCGTCATAGCGTGAGTGCTCATCAGGAAACCCTGTCTGATTGGGGTAAGCGTAGATGATGTGGACCCCAATCTGACCGCCTCCACAATGGGACCTGGCGGTTGTAATGGGGTAGCGGACGCTGCGGTCCTTCAACCAGCCTGGACGGCACTTGTCAAGCCCCTGGTTCCAGGCAGCATACAACTGCCCAGTGGTGGCCAGGGTGGTGTTGAGTTTCTGACAGTGCTGCACAGCCTCCTCAAAGGAGAAACTGTCATAGTCACTGGTGAAGAAGACCTCACCTAAGAAAATAAAATAAAATAAAATAACAGAAGCATTCACAAACATTCAGGAGAGTTCAAACAGCTGGACACATATAAAGATATTAAAGGTGACTTTAAATGTAAATGCTAGTAATTCAGTCTCCTCAGGGTGTGAGTGGGTTCCTCACCTTGCAGACGTTCCACATAACAAAACACATCATAATGTTCACTAGCGGGCCTCAGGCCATAGGATCTGACTCCTGGGAGGTGTGGCAGATTACCAGCACAGTTCTCTCTGGGTGAAACGATGGGATACCTGAGCATTAAAGAGAATGAAGGTACAGTATATTAATGTTTTGCTTTGTCATGATATCCCTCCAGGAATAAAATATACAACATACAACCAATCCAAGCAATTGGACTACAATAAGTAAACTAGTCATTTGTTTGGCGGGGGGAAAAAATCATGATGACACGGAATTATTCAAATTCTGTAATAAAAATTACATAAATGGAAAATCAACTTTGCACACTGTGGGAAACATATTGTGTTTTAATATATTGGTCTGTCTCTATTGTACACATGCCTCCAGCTGACCTGACAGTCTGGTCGCGGAGCCAGCCAGCGTCACATTGATGCAAGCCTTTTTCAAAGGCTGCCTGTAGTTGCTGGGGGCTGGCAATGACTGCCCCAATATTTTGGCAGGCCTGCTGAGCCTCCAGAAAGGTCAGAGTGTAACGACCAGTGATGGGTCGGTAGTGGAACACCACACCTGGGAAATGAGAGGAAGGGAAGAAAAGAAACACGTCTCATTTTATGGATGTCTGGATTTCTTTTAAGACTAGCCTACTTTGTTCAGTCATCTGAAGTCATCTTTATTTTTTCATTATGCCATTTGTTTTTTTCCCAGATGCAGACTGTGGTCATTCACTCATAGTTTGAACATTTAAAAGTCATTTTTGGCTGTTTATATAACATCAAGTTAGCCAATGACAACAATGCCGATGGAATGGGACCCTTGGCCAATAAACGAGCCGCAGGCATGCATGCCAAAAGTAAAAATACATATTAGGAAAGAACTGAACACAACAGTACGAAACAAATTCAGCTGCTTTTATACTTCAATACTTTTATATACTTCATCAATTTTAACACTGTTAGATGTTGCCTGCTACTGAAACCTTAACAGTTAAGTGAAAAATGATTTTTGGTTAGTGCAACAAACATTTTGCTTTACATTCAACTTGATGGCGCAGATTTCTTCCTATTTCAGTGACCATCTCCAAAATGGGTCACTGTAATGGGTCCACATGGCTATTCAGAAGGCAACACATTTATAGGCCACATCCTTCAGAGGAGACAGCCCCAGTTTGTTATTGATCAAGTACATAACCAACTTACCTGTGGGAGCCATGGCAGCATCTATGCCTGTCAGATCGAGTCCAGGCTCGCGTACCACAGGAGTCACTTTATCGTATGTATCTGTCACACTGGGTGGGACAGGCAGTGGGAAGAAGGTTTCGATTTCTCCACCGATGCCCTCCTCACCCCCAGGTGTGGGTGTAAGGCCTGGGTAGACCCCAGGGGCGGGTGTTATGCGGATGATGTCTGGGAAAGGAGTGGTTCTCATGGGCACAGCGCCTTCATCCTCACCAGCTGAGGAGACAAGATTACATAATTGCTTGATAAAATGCACCATTAAAAAGCCGTATTGACTAACACTAGGTTGATGGTTTCAATCAGCAACGATCCCAGAAATTCTTGAAATCTTAAAGAAGAAATTCAGCCTAAACTAATGCCATTACAAAACAAGTTATTTTGTCAACAAAGAGTAGATTATTTCCTAAGTCTCCAAGAAGAGTTTACCTTGGAAGCAGATAGCATCGTAGCGAGAGTCTGGGTAGGGGTATCCTGTCTGGTTGGGGAACAGGTAGACGGTTCTCACTCCCAGGAGTCCCCCTCCACACTGAGGTCTGGCAATATTGATGGGGTAACGTACACTCCTGTCTGACAGCCAGCCAGCGTTACACACATCCATGCCATTCTGCCAAGCCAGGTAAAGCTCTCCAGTGGAGGCTAGCCGGGCGCCGAGTTTTGCACACTGATCACCTGCTTCATAGAAGGTAAACTTCTCTACAGACATGGAGTAGAAGACTCTGCCTGGGAGGAGAGAAGAGGAGGCAAACAAGCTGACACGACAGTCTACAGTTGTGTGTAGAGTGTATTGGTTTCATGTGGGTAAGATAGCCTTTGTTGCTACCCTTGTTAGATGAGCATACCTGACATCTTCTCAGCAAAACAGTACACGTCATAGGTCTCGTTGACATCTCTGATGCCATAGGTTCTCACGCCTGGGAAGTTCTCCTTGTCTCCAAAGCAACGGTCCCGTGGCTCCTGGATGGGGTACCTTGAGAAGTTAAAAGAGTTGTCAGTCAGCAGATGGACTTTTATTGTGTCATTTATTGTAGTCTGTTGTTATGTTAAAGACATTTGTTTGTTTTATGTTCCCTGTCAGTTATTAAAAACACAAAGCCAAAACATAATATCGATGGGACTGTCCCATCAGGTCGCCAAAATACAGGACAGGACAGACTAAAAGGATCAATATGCCTCATCTAATGGTTGAACAGTGTCTGACAGAACCCCATATCTACATCTTTTGTCAGATGTTGGAATTGTAGGGGCCTGTGCATAACTTTCTATAGCCAACAATGTGACAACCATGCCCACTTGTAAAAGTAGGCAGAGTTTTACCATCGCTCAATTTCTAAGGAGAGACTGTCTGCAAGTGTCATTAGCGCCATTATCCATATTGGTACATTCATCGCATCTTATCCCCATTTAGAAAACACTTAGATGTGGCCAGACTACACGTCATACAAACTCCTTCATTAAAGCACCAGCTTTGATTACTGCGGCTCTGTGGTTTTGCCATGTCATGAACAACAAAAAACATCTTGGTGTTGAATCTGTGTCCAGCTTTCATTTCTGTGTGGAATTTGAATTTTTCTCTTTTTGTGTGTTCTGATTTCATCTAACTGTCCAAAGACATGCTATTTGGTGAATTAGGAACTCGACATGTCCATAGTGAGTCTGATCAGTATAAGCAGTTGAGAAATAAAAGATGGATGGAAGGATGGATGGACACTACCTAACAGTCTGATCAGAGAGCCATCCAGCATCACACTGGTGATATCCATCATCGTAAGCAGCCTGGAGCTGGGCTGGAGTAGCGATGCTGGCACCGTTCTGGATACAGGCTGCCTTCGCCTTCTCAAATGTCAGGGTGTAGCGGGTGGAGATGGCTCGATAGTGGAACACAATACCTGTAAGATACAGAAAGTGAGCGAAAGACAGAAGAACTATGATTAAATGTCTTTAAAACTATGCCCATTTGACAAGCTCTTTTCTAACAACATTTGTGCTCAAATTTCGCCAGACCTCTATGAGCATGACGAGACAGTAAGACCATTATAACTCATAATTTATGCTACGGATATTTGTTTCTACCCAACTGTTTTGGGGGTATGTTGTTTAAGAGAACCTTCAAGATAGAACTGTTGGAGCTAAGTTGTTGTATGTTTGGTGTTTCAATAAACACTGATGGATGTTTGACTACCATGTGGTGAGTAATTTTGTAGTGACCATCTGTTAATGTTTCTGTGGCTTACCCTGAACCTTGATGTCCACAGAGTCATAGTTGTCCTCAATGGCGTGCATCACCTCACAGCGGTAGGTGCCAGAATCTTTGGACCTCAGCTCTGTTATCTCCATGGTGGCATCCGTGGGCACCAGCGGGTAGTTGATCATCGTCACTCTGTCCAAATACTCTGTCTCTACATTAACTTTTCCCTCTAATGCCACCAGGATCGTGGTGACTTTCTCCTTGGTGACGTAGGTCCATTTGATGCGATGGGAGAGCGGGGCGATGGTTGGGGCACCAGGGTCATTGACTGTGTTGTCCTGGAAGTAGCATGGTACCACTACCTTGCTGCCCAGAAGAGGACGGAGAGGCATTTCCAAAGGGATGCTGACACGCAATGTGCCATCTAGGGTCAAGTCTAGGGTAAAGATAGGTCGTGGTTAGGTCTTTTATTTGTTAAAGAGGTTACAACCATAATCCAGATATATGTTTTTTGCAGAATCTCTTACGGTCATGGGCTATGGGACAGCCTTCATAAAAATGTTAAATAGACTGCACTTATGTAGCACTAATCAATCATAGTAGGACAAAGCTTCACACGATGGACCCAGGAATTGATCTACCAACCCTACCTACAATTAATGAACAACTTTTTAGTTGACCCAAAAAAAAAACAATTGAGAAAACGTCCTCATGACTCATTTGTTTTTATACTGCTTATTACTTTATGTCTCTGGAAATGTCTAGAAAACACAATACATCAGCAGCATGTTGAATCAAGTTCTAATCAGACTGTAGATTTCACAAAAGATAATGCAGAGATAGATTAAAATATAGCTTAATATTAACATTTACACAGGGATGATGAAGATAAGAATTAATTTAATGAAACTAAAATGTAACAGTTGTTACTGTAGTTGTTAACAGTAGAGCACCTACCTCCGTCTTCAAACAATGATGTTGCTGAGATGAGGGGCAAGGACACACAAAGCAGAAGCAGGGGGGTCATCGTTACCTGAAAAATACCCAAAATGAAACACTGGAATCAAATTTGTTGCTACAGAAAGCCAGTCCTTCTTCTCTTTAGTACAGCACAGTTTTAGTCACCTAACCTGATTCAGCTATCTCTACCACCATCAGTTTAGGTATTTTATGCTAAAAAAAAATCTATTGCCCCAAGGAAATAAAAAATGCAATGGAAAAAAATAAAGGTTTAATGTTTATAGTGATATTTGTCCTTTTCAAACCATATCACCATAAACTTAACTGATCACAAGTTGGCTTAAACGAGAATATTCAAAGAATAAACAAAGTGTGTATATAGAGGGTGTGTATAATGATAGAAACTTTAAATGCTGACTGAATGAACCGTGAAGTGTTAGAATGAATATGTGAGTTTATTTTCATTTTCCTCTCTTCCTAAATGTCGCTGTGATTTTTTCCAACTCCTGTACACTTACATTCATATTCCACGTTATCCAGGATATTCAGTGCATTTGGTTATTATTTCAGCATCATTAGCTAAAATGGAAATAGGATGCCAAGAGACTCTAGTATCATTTGGAAATACCATACATGCCCACTAAGGAATAAAAGCCTCTCTGTCTCTGGGCACAGGAAATGTCTTTAGTACTAAAATAGGTTCAGGCTGAAAGGGTGAAGTATGATTCATTCATTTCAAATGCTTTTCCATTTGTAAAAAACTAATGAGGAAATTAATGTTGAAATTATTTCCAACCTACTAACTGTCCTTTCAACCTGTGTCCTTGTCTGTGTGCATACAATATATTTATAGCACTGGTCCATCTCTTGGTCCAAAATCTCTTGCTGTCAAATCGTCTGTCTTCATGGCTATGGCCATGCTATAGTGAAAACTGCTATGAAGTTTACATTTATTTGTCAGTTGGTTCACCACTTTGGTTCAGACTGAAATATTTTCAAAACTAAATTTTTTGTCATTCATGGGGTGCAGAGGAGGAAGTATACTGATGTTGGTGATCCCCTGACTTTTCCTCTAGCACCACCATGAGGTTGACATTTTTGTCTTTTTGTGAAATATCCCAACAACCATTGAATGGATTGCCATGAAATCTGCTACAAGTACCCAAGGTGCCCAGTGGATGAATCATAAAGAGTTATAAAGAGTTCGGTCTAGACCTGCTCTATTTGAAGTGTCCTGAGATAACTTCTGTTATGAATTGGCGCTATACAAATAAAATTGAATTGAATTGAATTGAATTGAATAATAACTTTAAAAATCCTGAAACGTTTTACTGCTAGCACCAACATGAGGTTGACATTTGTGGTTTTGAGTGAAATATCTCCATAACCACTAAATTATAGCATACTAAAAGTATGTTAGCATTGTCATTGAGAGCATGCTGACTTTTTTGCTCTGTCAAGAAAACAGATTTTGATCAGTTTTTGGTCACACAATTCAAATTTGACCTTAAATATCATTAAATATCAGCAACCGCCAACTTCAATCCAAAACATCAGCATTGCAATCACAAACCCACATCTGTAAAACCCTTATTACCACATTGCTTATTTTCTCTCAACTTTCCACTGCTGTGACGTGCAGCACGTCAAATGTACAAAATCGTTGCGAGTCCCAACTGAACCTTCATTGTGCTACGTTCACAAGCCCCAGTACAGGCTGCAGAAAGCACCCATTTCATTCCAAACAGCCACACAGAGACGTTTACAACCAATAAATTTGAAGCCCACAGTCACAAAGCATTTGCAGTTGTTGATTTGAGGTTGGCAGCCTGGTGAAAGGCCCAAAGAGAAGTTCAACTGACTCAGCATAAAAAATCCGATCATATATATAATTACAGTGTGTGGACGCATTCATGTGGCATGCATGCTGTATGTGTGTGTTTGTGTGTGTGTGTGTGTGTGTGTGTGTGTGTGTGTGTGTGTGTGTGTGTGTATGTATGTGGGCTGCTAGCATTCTCAGAGTTCCACAGATCCAGGACATACAGTACAGTAGGACTAATATTTGCCCTGCTGTCTAAGATCTGTCTGTGAATGGAGTGAACGTTGGCCCAGTTTGGGAGGAAACAGTAAATACCTCACAGGATATGTAGACAGACTGACAAATCCACCCACACCGTTATTATCAGGCTGTGATGTTCATTCAAGCCCCGGTGACATATTGTAACTCACTTTATGGTATTCTCCAGAGACTGTTTCACATTCATTCCTTTATTTTCAGAGTTTTTCAAACATTGTTGGGCTTTTTCGCAACTTCTCATGAATTGTATCTATTTTCCTCAAATTGCTTTTCAACAGCAACCTCTCATGAACTTCTCCTGTATGACATTGCTTATGCATGTGCTGCAAGACTACAAGTGAGCGTTAATGCAACACATCTTGAAAGTATTTCTAGTGAATAAACTGGTTTCTTTCCATCTTCAGCAGTGGGTGTCTCCTTGTATGATTGTTAGTTCAAAATGATGAGACACGAATGAAGTTCCAGGTCAATGGCCTACTTATAACTGACTTTATTAATTCATACATTACATTGCTGTATTTTCCTGGAGAAATGTAGGCTAAAATTTGAATTGAATGGGGGAAAAAAACAATTTTGCATCATATCATATTGTCTACAATGTCGGAAACAATGATATATGCAGCCTGCAAAAGCAATGTATAAAGTGTATCTAACAACTTAACAGCAGGAAACAATATTGTTTTTGCTGAACCCCAGTTGTGTAATGTCACGCCTTTCTGCAGTGATGTAGAAGTGTACTCTAGGGTGTGTCAGTACAAAGTGACATCACTAACAGAGGACTCTTCTGGCCACACCCATCAGTGATGGAGAAACTTAACCGAAGAAACACCACCAGAGTGCAGTGACACACTCATTTCAGCCTGGTTTTCAGTTACTCTGGAATAAATAATATAAATAAAATATTAATATAGATTTTAAAAATGACATTGTCATATGTCACAATCAAGGTGGGCCTCCCAAAAGTGGATATAGTCAGCAATATCCAGCTAGCAATTACACTGTGTTCACACTCTCACAATGTATGAACACAGAGAACGCCAGCAAAAACTCTGGCCAAGCCAACCAAAACTTTAACTCTTTATTGCTTACTATCCGATCATTGAGAAGCTCCTCGGCTCTCTTTAAATGCATCATTTACACTGCGGCCACTTCATAATGTGGACTAGCATTCGTGAGCAAGCCACACAGGGCCAGGTCAGCCCTCTCTCCACAGTGTGCCCATTCAGTCAGTGGGGTGGCTGCTGCTCCTCTGTTCGGGGGTTGTGGTATGTTCCGCTCCCAGCTAAGGTAGAGGGCAATAAGGCCTTGGTCTGTTCCAGCAACCGTCAGGAGCCGGGCCTTGGGGTGCGACCTGCCAAGGTAAACACAGGCGGGCAACCAGGGGAGGCCCTCCCCACCTCCCACCTCCCACCTCCACCCACTCTTCTCCAACCCTCCCTCAGCAGAAGAACAGAGTTGACATTGATACAGTGCGCATTAACAGAAACACAGACTAACACTCATAGATCACCGAGGGGATGTGTGGGAGCGCACGTCCGATGCCCCTGGTAAAGAAAACGCATAGGAGTGTGTGTACATATGTCAGTATTGACACATACTGTTAGGCCTGTGTTTGAGAACAAGCACAGACTCTGGCACAGTGAAATAAAAAAATCATATTCACAGATGCTTATGGGTGCATTATACATGCCTATATACTCAGCAGACTATGTTCAAAGACATGATTGAGCAGCATGTGCACATTTGTTAAATGTGTCACACATATACACAAGTTACAAGACTGAGGAATCAAGTGTTAGTTCAGTAACTTACAGATTGTACTAAATATAATGAGTGTAATTATTCCTGCTTTAACTGAACCCTTTGTTGATTTTGCTTTTCATTTCTGACATCTAAAAATTACAATTCACAACATGCGCTCACACAGCCTGGTGTTACCATAGTAACAGGATGTCATTCCTGACAGTAGTTTCATATATTACAATAAGTAACATTGTTTTCCCAGTAATGACACACTGTTTGACTCCTCAAGTGCTCCACTCAGGATTTGAATTGAAACGGAAAATAAACATGTTCCCCTCTTTCCATTAAAACCTCAAGGTCTGGCAGCAGTTTGGAAACTGATTATGTGAGACTGTGACAGTACAGCATCTCTTTTCATTTTCATGAATCAGCAGGGAGACAGCACTGTCTCATATATTTAAAGATTTGTGTACACTCTTGCACATTTTAGTATCTTATTCCTCATAATGCCATCAGTGGTTCCTGGACTTCAGACCCCCACTAAGAGTCGCGTTATAAATCTGAGGGGTTGCAAGATGATTACGAGACAAGAGAGCAGAAAAAAGTATTTTTATTTTTTCAGACTTTCCTCTAATCTTTGCTTTTTTCCCCCTTGTGTAGTACTGGCTATTTCTACCTTTTCAAACCTCTAAAAATGATTAAAAAAAACAAGCAAGCAAAACAAATTTCTCTTTGATTAGAGTGGTTCAAATTGGTAGACATATGTAACTAGTGACAAGGAATTACAAGTACATTGCTTTATTTTAAGTGGTCACACCCATAAAGGTTCATACCACATTTCATTGGGAAAAGAGACACCTGGCATACTAATATATAATTAATTCAGACACTGAGTAAAATTCAGTTGCGTTAATAATTTCCTCTTCCTGAAACTCATATTTTAGCCCCATTAGGTCACATTATATTATCACTATGGAAATCATAGTATGAAGTTATTAAGTGCTGTGAAATGAAACCAACAAATCGAACAATCAGTTTGTTAAAAAGAGTAGCTGACTGCATTAACACCTCACTAAAGTCAACTCAGCAAAACTCAGAAAGCACACCAGACACCAGCAAAAACACCACAACTCCCATCAGCACAAAAAGTTAACACTAAGAATCTAATCACGTTTTATCTGTTTTGTCAAACACTATATGTATTAGCTGTAATTAATTTCCCAGAGATCAGATTCAGAACTACTTGATAATGAAAAAGAAATGTCAGTGTTACCTTTGCTTTGACATCTGAGTACAGTGCCTCAATGTCATACCTGTCCTCCAAGCAGAGGATGAAGAATCCCCCCTAAAACCCCTTCAAAATATTCCTTGTTAGGGACTCCAGTGGTGAGTTGTAAACGTACCATTGATGTTCCAAAGCTCCCAGTGCCAGCGACTCCAGGGGCCTCTCACTCCTGCCTGAGTAGTAGAGCAGAAAGAAGCTCTTTTCAAACTCCACCACACATTTAGATGTTGGAAATCGAGAGAGAGGAAAAGAGAGAGAGAGAGAGAGAGAGAGAAGGAGGGAGAGAGAGAGGGTGGGGGGTTGGGGGTGGTCTTCTCCTGCCAGTTGGTGAGGTCATACAAACAGCCTTAAATATCAAAGCTGGAGCACAGAATCTGAGAAATATTTTATTTATGATTTAGTATCAGATTATATTTGATATAAATATACAATAAGACAATAACATGTTGGTCTTTGCTCTAACCTGTTACACTTACTGTACATACACCTAAAATCAATACATCTCAACCTCTATGGTAAATCACAGGTACAGGGCTGACACATAAACTCATTACCACCGCTGATTAATGGGACTTGTAGAGGTTGATCTACAGAAACACTCACTACTCTTATAGCAGACAGAAAGTCACATGCATCTTAACAGTAGGTGCATTGTACATGTGACGTAAATATAGTGGTAGTAGATCTTTAGATCCTGATAGATTCCAATGCTACTGCATGTTTATTGATTGAGAAGTGCATCAGTTTGCAAGTTTTCATTTTCCCTGCATGAGTTCAAGTTAAGTTAATCTTATCTTATGCTTTGGCCCATGCTGTCTGTATGATTTTAACTATGGATGTATTAAAGGAGTGTTCTGCCAGCCAAGCATTTTCTGTGGCTATGGTGCAACACATCCTGCTGACTGCTAATTGGTTAATTCGTCTGCACCAATTCCACCACAACAGTATAGTTATTTTGTAGGCTACTTGGCAAATTAACTGGGTGTTAACTGGGTTTGACCAGATTCTTCTAGGTTGATGAAAAGGATCTCATAGCTGTTGTGATAGCTAGATCAAGGAATCAAGGAATCAATTCCTAATAATATTATGAATTTTTACTTATAGAACAAAAGGCCGTTTCCATCTGTTTTATTCCATAATGTTGAAATATTGGATTCTGTAAAAAAACAACTACAAATATGTCTCATAATGTTACAGAACGTAAAATATGTGTTGTGCTCAGAAATCTCAAGGAGTGTGTGTAATTGTGAGGTAGCTGATTAAACGGCAAAAATCCCGAGATGTGAGTGCTTGTGTGTGCACTTGTTTTTGTGCATAAGTGCGGCCATTTCCTTATGTATAGATACTGCCACATGTGTATGCTGCTGGTGTCTGTGTACATTCAGTTTAAAGTCAAACATGCTAATGTTGGCCTGAGGTTGAGGAAAGGCGTGTCTCCCCGTTCGTCTCCCACCAAACTCTATTCAGAGGTGTAAATACTGGCTGTGTGCTCGCTGCACTCACTGACGCACACTTACCGTCTACATCTTCAAAGGGGGACTTATTAACGGCCCATTTGCTATAATTTTGTGCTTATTTGCAGACTCAATTTTTATTCAGCGGCTGCACACAGATGAAATAGTAACACCAGGTTTACTCACCATCATTCATGTCAATCAGCTCTTGCTTGGTAACAAATCTGAAAGAGCAGCACAGAACATTTTATACCATGCCACCTCCAAACATTTTTTTATAGGTTTATGTTGTAGTTTTTTTTAGCCAAGGAAAGTTTGCCTGGTGACACATGCTGTGTTTTATCGACATTCTATTGCACATTCATAGTTATTTGGCCTGAACAACCACAGATTTCCACTGGAAAGTTGTTGAGCAAAGGTACTTCAACTGGAGTTGCAGAAGAGGAAGAAGTCTTTCCCACTTTCCAAGCCAGCAGGTCTAAATGACACTCTTCAAGTCCAAAGAAAGTCCCTAATCTTTAGGCCAATAGCCCCCTAAATTATACTATACACCTGTGGTATAAGATGATAAAAAACATTGTAAGCAGTTAGTGACTAACTCAAAGGACAAATGAGTGAACCACTCTCTGGCATTCATATGTTTGTTATGTGGAAAATTCCCCCAACAACCACAACGTAACAGACTTGTCTTGATTTTTGAGTATGTGTTTGTCTCTCTCAAGGTAAAGGCAGCCAAGGCTCTACAGTTGTTCCATAGCCCACAAATGAAATGTAAATGTCAGACAAAGGAAAAGTCCAGGCAAGACCATAGCCATTTTTTCCACCGTATACACTGTTGAGGAACTATTGTGTCACATTTCTTTGAAACAGAGAGTTATTCATCCTCACACATACTGATTCCTGTGTTAGGATCATAGAAATTATGACTAAGAATACATGGGAACATTGCTATGAAAGGCCATTCATGCTCCTCAGAGGATGAGCCATTTCAGTTGAAATGATCCCATTTACATACAGTATCTACCTCCAACTCATCACTAACTTCACATCTTATCCTCACTGGTGAGGCTGTAGGAATGGCAAAATCATCATTTTATTTGGTCATTGACACAATATTGTGTTGTAGGCAACATTACAGTGGTCACTTTTGGTATTGTTTGTTCAAAAATCTTGCATGAATTCTTGTCACGGAAGTAGCTTTAAACAAATGCTACATTGTAAAGAAATGTTTTTTAGACTGATATCTTAATACTTAACAGAGTAACACGTTTTCCTGCATTGATACGACTGTTACTCCACCAACAAAGTCAGAACATGAGGCTAAAAGTTATTCTGTCCCGTGGAGGTTAAAGAACTGAACCACTCTTGTACTCTGTCACCTCCAGTATGTTATAGTGTCGTTGGCCTTAAACTGCACTGAGGTTGTTAAAAGTGTTTAGTGTATAGACTTTATGTGTTGGGCTAACTATATATTAAGGCATGCAATGAGTTTCTAGAAAGAGACTGTCAGTCTGTTTTCTCAGTCTGGGTCGTAAAGAGATTGTGTGTATGGCTATGTTGAGCTGACTCACAAAATCAATAATATTACATAGTAAATGACTGTGATATCCTGTTGCTCACCAGTTTATATAATATAGCATGTTAGTTCGACCATGAATGCTCCTTTTGTTCTCACAAAAAGGAAGAATTTGTTTTATTACTTGTTTAATTTGAGTTGAGTTAAAAGTCATGTGCACCCAAAATTCCTTCTGTGTTTGAGCGTGCATGTTTATCTGTGTGCCTTTGTCGACACCCAAACCATCGCTTGTGGTGTGATTTCAGCTCATTTACAAACTCTGTGAGTGCACACTTGACTTACAACTAGACGCATTACACAGCACGGAGTCCACGTGAAAGACCTCTCAGAGTGGTCGAGGCAGGTCAACACAGAGATGCTTGTGTTTTCTCTCCTCTCCGTCTCAAATGATCCAAATATGAGCAGCCGCACGCTGGAAAGAGAGAGTCAGATGGGATTGACTGGAATCAGACTGAGGCTTTTTCTTGAGGGTGACAAATTTCAAGCTCAGGAAAAGTGCTGAGGCGTCTGTTTTGGTTGATGGGTTGATGCACTTTCTGTTCACTGAGGCAAACACACACGCCTATGCACCCACTCGCACAAACACACAGACATCACACACACACACACACACACACACACACACACACACACACACACACACACACACTCGCCTGTACTGGCACAGATACATTAAAAGTGGTGATAACAAAATCATAATCGTGGGTTTGCACACATAGAGACTTTCTTCTGTCTCATTAATCACTAAATTATAGCATATTTAAGATTTTTTGCCGTCCTAGCATCATGGTTTCAGGGACTGAAATATTTTTATGTTTTAAGGTGGAATTTTGTTTAGACATTCATGTTTCCCAGAGGATGAATCATACAGACTTTGTTGATCCCCTGATTCTCCCTCTACTGCCAGCAGGTTGACATTTGTAGCTTTTAGGTGACATATGTTCACAGCTACTACTTTGGTTGATTTTCTGTGACATTTGTGGTCCCCAACAGTTCATCCTCATTTCGTCTAATGCCACCATGAGGTTCACATTTGGGTTTTGAGTGAAACGTCTCAACAACTATTAGTTGAATTGCAATGTTGTTTGGTTGTTAGACATTCATGTCCCCCCACAGGATGACAATTTGACTGGTGATCCACGGACCTTTCTTCTGGCACCATCATCATCTTAAAGATTTAATTTGTCCGTTATTTTGGTTTATAACACAGTTTTTGCAAAACTAATGACATTCCCATCATCCTCAGCTGAACTCTAGTCTAGTGCAAATTAGAAGATTAACACAGTAAAACTAAGATGTGTCAGCATTTAGCATTTCACCGCTGTGTTTATTTAGAAAATCCCTCTTACATAATATGCACATCATCTCTCAGAGACAACCTGCTGGCACCCATAAATATGAAAGTCAGAAAATAGAGGGACATACTGAAACACATTCACATACAAATTTAGAAACTATGGGTATGAGAAGGTATACAGTTATGTATACAGTACCCAGTTGAGTATAAATGGACATACACACACACACACACACACACATACACACACACACACACATTGTACACAACCGCCTAATTTGCAATTGCAAATAATCCATATCAGAATACATTATAAATGTCAGTGGTCTTTACATCAGAGTTCCTGACATAAAACCAGCTCCAGTTTACAGAGTAACATGTGTTTTACCTGATTTTGCTCACTCTGCACACTGTAAATCAGCTCGCATTCAACACACACACACACACACACACACACACACACACACACACACACACACACACACACACACACACACACACACACACACACAGAAAGACAGGAGGGTATTAGTCAAACAGATATATATAAGTCAATAGATAAATTCAAACAAGAGAGATCATCACACAAGAGAGGCAGGCAGGTTTGACACTGAGTACAACAGAAACACACAGGAGGCTTTCTTTGTCAATTCAGTCTAATGGACAGTTTATTTAACATTTAACATGTCACGTGTCAGCACCATCCTGGGGTCCAGCGACTGGTTGGAGAAATGTCAACATACTGTACATGCCAGAAAATTACAACAACGCTCAGAATTCCTTCCTGTGTTTTAAAAAATGTGTCTGAAATAGAAACTCTCAGTTTAGCATTTTGTGGATACTTGTACACAGTGATTGTGAGTTGTTTGAATGTTATTCTCACACTGTTCCAGGCTAGAATACATTTAGGTATGTATTTACTTATGTCTAAAATTAGACACAGGGGTCAGTTCACGTCTGAGGCTATATATGAAATAGAAGACACAAACCTGCCAGTGCTGAGTAATTCTCCAACTTTATGTTACACTTAAAATATCCTTGTCAACCCGCTCCAACTTTTGACAGGTATGAGAAAGAAATAAGATGCTAAACATGCAAAACATACAAATTAACTATTAAATAACAACATGAAGTGTTTGTAAGGTGTTTTTCCACCGTGAGCCGTCAGAACAGACTTAGTGCTCCTTAATGGCACAGATTCACCAAGTCTCTCAAACTCTGCAGGAGGGATGAGACAATAGTAATAATAATATTCATTATATTACTCATTTGGTGTTTTCAATGATAGTGAGAGAGCTGTCAAACACGTTGGTCCAAAATCTCCAACAGATGTTCAGTTGGGTTTAAATCTGGGGACTGTGTGTGTTTCGTTGTGATTTGTATGGAAGCAATTTCCCACTGATTTATCCAGATCTTTCATTTATTTTCTCACAATCTGGAATTATGTTAAGTTACAGGTACAGAAATGTGTGTAATATAATATTGAAACAAGGCTCCATTCACTGAATACAAACTGACAAAGAAAGGTTGTAATGCATTTTCACCATTAGTTCAATTGTTCTCCTGAAAAGATTTTTTTTTGTAGTGAAACCTGCAACTTATTTCCTTGACCAGCAGAGAGCACCAACACTGTTAAGAGATGAAACACACTGTACATTATTCATAGTGTGTATTATAATGTTTTGTTCTTGTAATCCACCAGTCACCAAATACATGTGTAAAAACACTTATGAAGTTTCTTTCTACACAGGAGGGTTATTACACATACAAATAATATGAAGGCTGGCTGTGTGTGTGTGTGTGTGTGTGTGTGTGTGTGTGTGTGTGTGTGTGTGTGTGTGTGTGTGTGTGTGTGTGTGTGTGTGTGTGTGTTGACACAGCCTCTTGCAGTCTATCAAGTGGGAGGGCTGCATTTTTTTTACTTTACAACCTAGAAGTGAATAGCCTCTTTATGGCTGTCAGGCTCGCTCACTATATATAAATGTGTATATATGTGGGTGTGTGAGCCACACTGATATCTGCATGAAATGTATGAGAAGGATGTACAGATCTACAGCCTGTTGGTGTTTTATCTAGTTATAGGAAATGATTAAAGCGGATTTTGGGGGTAATATGATGCTGCAGTCACATTCTCAGCTGCCAAGAACAATAATAAGTGTGCAGGAATTTCTCTCACTGATGCTGATGCAAAGACATACATACTAATAACTTACAGTTACAGAGAAGGCAGTTTTGTAGCTGGTTGAGCTGATGTTGTATTGTCTGTTAGCTGTCTAGATACCTTTGAAGTTGGTGTTAGGGCGGATTGCTGCTAGTAGTTTAATGAATATGGCAAAGAGTGAGGGAGATAGGTCGGCTTAAGCTAACTTTGTGACAATGGCTCGTTGGAAGTGGCGGCAACAGGATGCTGTGAATGTTGCTTAATTTCACTAAATAAATGGCACTCTGAGTTTCAAAAGAGAAGCTCCAGATAACCCTATAAAATGCCTTTTTTGCATTCAGTGATAAATTTAGAGTATTTGATTTTTGAGTGGTTGAAAGTGGTTGAGTACTGTTGAATGAAAGCATTCCTTTTATAAAACTGGTCTGGTCAGGATGTATGATGAAAGAAATAATCCTGACAACAAGAGCCTTGCTCATATATTTTTACAATCTGTACTGATTAGTGACAAGAAACGGTAACTATACATAGTAAAAGTACTAGGTCGCCAATCATGGTTTTTATGCTACAGGGTAGTTTAGCAATGGGGGGAAATGTGGCTACCATTCTATTACATAAGTTGAGTTGGAGCTACTTTCAACAACTTTTGAGTTATTTCCTCGGCAGTATATCATAGTCTATTATCTCAACATAGGGTTTCTATGTAAAATCTCTGAAAAAAGGAGTCAAAGAAATGTAGTGCAGGGAAAAAGTACATTATTCTGCGCTCTCTGACATGTAGTGCTCTAAAGGTATAACATGATATAAAATCTCAAAATCCTAAACTCAAAATTGTACTCAAGTACAATACTTTATTAAATGAACTTAGCTATGTTCCACTGTACTGTTATAACATTAAGTTACAAGCTGTTTTATCTACATTTTTTATTGGTACTATGTTACTAGATTTTGAATCCCGGCCAGTGTGACATATGGCGAACAAGCCTGTTCTGCATCTCTGTCATTACTGTTGGCAGCTATTTTAAGCTTCAACCGTTAATGAAATGTACTTCACAGCCACTGTGGCCTGAAGTGAGAAATGTAAGAGCAGTTTCGTACAAAGATTAGTCTCTTTTGAGTGAACATGGTAGAGTTTATGAGTCATGGTAACGGCAAATATCTTCATTTTCAGGAAATGAAGAGAAAGAAACACAGAGAAACACTTGCTGAACCCGTTCACCTCATTAACCATCATCAGTGACTGTGCATACTCTTTAGCCAAGGAAACTTCATAAAGGAAAGTTTGTTGTTTTTTTAACCATATAACTGGGCATGGAAATAAATTGGTCACATGTTTTAACTAGCTCTTCTCTTTAGATGTCTATGCCAGTTTGACTGCTGACAGTCTTGTAATGTAATGTACAGCACTGCACACTCTAAACAGACTTTTTCACCTCTGTTTCTTATCCACTTCTGTCTCCTTGTGAGCTGAATGTGACTTAAAGTGGACAAGGACGTGTTTGTCAGCAGGCTTTCAAATCCAAGATGGCCATCAACGATAGTGTGCCCATTGAATCAGTGGAGACAGAGAGCTTCAGAGAGCATTTAGATTTTTTTTAAATGCATTACATAATTTAAAGTGTTAAAAAAAGAGATTTTTGGATGCAGGATAGGTGGTGAGAGAGAGAAGATGAAGAGGAGGAGGGAGAGGTGGTTACTGGTTTTTAGCGAACACTACTTCCTTATGTCGAAGCACAGACTGACTTCTCATGTCCAGCTGCATGATGGGCCAGAGAGTCGCTCCACATTTTCTTGACAGGTTGCCAAACCGGGATGTCTGGCAGTGACCGGTGCTGGTCTGATGCTGGGAATGGCTCAATGGGAAGCAAAGGCAACTGTGGGATTATGGAAATGTATGTAAGGCTTGTTTCATACCTCAGCTGACTGTGTGTGGTTCCTGTGTGAGGCAGTGGGGCGTGATGAATAACTCTACCTAATTAAATAAAAAGTAGGTATGTGTTATATCCCTTAAAGGACAAAAATCTGATCCAGACTTAATGGTATATGTTTATTCATGTATACCAGGTACTTAGCAGATACCTTTATGTCGACTGTTTAGGCCTACAGTGAATGTTTTATATCAGTAATAGATCACACAAGTGATGAACAGATAATTATCATCCAACTTTTCAGTTCCCCTCGTATCTCTCAGCTCATTATTATTGGTAATACTGGTGTGACTTTACTGTTCACTCTCTCTGCTCTCATCAGTGCTTCATGTTGAGCAAAAAAAGCTTTAAAACCCAGAAAGTGGCCAAAAAATCAGATAATGCACGTTCAACACTGCATGTTTGTTTTCATGAATTTATTAAAGATATAAAAACTATCAAACTGAACTTGTGGGCTGCCTTGCACAATGTTTAGTCTACTGCTGTGCCTCATAAAGCTACTGTGACTGTGTGAATTCTGATTTAAGGATATTTATATAGAAACAATCCTCCTAATGGTCCAATCATTTAGGATAATAAAAAAGCTATTTCTATATCGTTAGCTCACAACACATTATTATGATATTAGTTGGTGTCTGTGGGATGGCTACAGTCGACAGTCTTTATATTTCACCCATGGGAAAGATTGTAAAATGTTACTGAAGCAGCAGAATCAGCATATTGAACAATTCCTCAGACAATTGTAAATGGCATGTATACAGTCTGTGGTTAAGTCTGCATTCTGCAACCTGATTCATTTTCTGCAATCTCTGGTTGCTTAATATGATGGGGAGGGGCAACAGATGAGGCAATTAAACCTTAACTGAGCTGTGACAGTTTATAAACACAAATGGAGAAATCATTGTATGTAAAAAAGAGAAGGTTACAGTTGTGGGTTTTAATAAATAAACAGCTCATCTGAAAGAATAATTAAACATAATTTTATACTAAATAGTATTTGATGGAATAGTATAGTACATTTATCTGATGGCAGTATTACTGGTTACTTTACAGTACAGATTAAATATGCATAATAATAGCTAATACTGGTGGATAATGTTATCAAACTAATTATGAAGTAAAAAGTCATCTACAATACTGGCTTCCAAAATGAATATCAGAATCAGAATCAGAAATACTTTATTGGGAAATTTGTTTGTTATAGTTGTTCTACTCACACATGTTAAAGAATATAAATAATACTTATATTACAAAATCTAACACACAATATACAAAATAGAAATGTATGTATTGGTATATACATAAGTAAAAGTAAAAGTAAAAATAAAATGGAAATAGAAACATAATAAGAGCCCAAGAGATATATAATAAAATAATAAGAGCCTATATACAAAGTAAATGTAAATGTAAACATATTCCACAGTATGTGCTGACTGAATTAAATAGTAATGAGTTTAAGATTGTGGCCTGCAGAAGTTATAGATAATTACAATGAATTATTGAATAAATACAAGAATAACATAATAATCAAGTGTATTGCAGTTTATAATTAAGTATTATCAAACGAAAATACTCAAGTAAAATACAAGTATAAAGTACAAAATTGTACTTGTAGTCCCACTGTTTATTTTACTACTTTAATCAAACATCTGTGGCCCATAAACTTGTTCCTATCAACCGTGGAGGCGTGCCATGCTGCAATACCCCACATTGACCGGTAGATGGCAGTAATGACCCGGCTTTAAAAAAAAAAACGAAAACTTTATCTAAAAAAACAAAAAAGGTGAAGAAAAAGAGAAGGACGGAAGCATGGCAGCAGGCAGCAGGGAGCAATGACCGGAAGTGAACTTTAGCGGGTAGCTCACAACTTTGAGAGTTTAAAAAACTGAAGTCAGACAAGCAGCCGCTTCCTTTTTAGTCCGGTTCAGTCAGTGGAAACAAGGAAGTGAGCAGCTGACCGCCGGTAAGTCCCGTTCACTTTAACGCTTTCTGCTGTCTCTGCTGTCTCTGCTGTGTCCTCACGGCGAGCCTGTGAGTCCTGTGAGTCCTGTGGTAGAGCAGAGCTGGATTTCTACTGTTGTGTCGGTGGAAGTGGACAAAAGCAGCGCAAAGCTTTCACCGTGTGCAGACTTCATTGTGTGTATGAGGGCTGCTGTGTAGTGAGCAGGTCGACGCACTGATTTTCTGAAGTGTGTTTTATGCGATTTATTCCTGAACTCAACTTCAATACGGACGCCTTCATTGTGTTTTTATGATCGTGATTTGAGTCCCCGGTTGGAGCTTGACCCAGGCTGGTTGGACACCTGTGGTCCTGATATGTTGTATTAAGCAACAGGAGAGCAAAAAAAACAACAACAACAAAAAAAAAACCCCACATAAACTATCAAAGCTGGTCTGGCCACTTTGTGAATGTGAGTTTAGTAATACTTCAAAGTGGGTGAGACTGGGAGTGTTGACATATTGTGAGAGAGAGAGAGGGAGAGTGTCCCTCTCTCCGTCTGAATATTGACGTTGCTTCTTTCTGCAACTAACATTAGTAGTTTGGTCTATAAACTGTTAGTGAAAGGTTTCCATTATAATAAGTCCAAGGTGACATCTTCAAAGACAACTCCTGAATCCTCACTACTGAGAAACATGAACAGGAAGATGTTTTCTGATCTATTATGAAAATAGTTGCTCATAGTTTCCCTCAAAGGCACAGTGCCTACTGATGTGGGGCTGGGGGTGACAGAGAAACAGAGGCTTTAAGTTGTGGTAATAATATTTTTAAGACTCTTTAAAATCAGTAATGCCACATCAACAAGAACATGATTAAACATGACAAATGTGTCACAAAGTGGAATGAAAGTCCTTATAGTCATTTAACTGAGATACAGTTCCATGTGAACAAATTGACCTGAATTAAAAGAAGATGATCAATATTTTCACTGTGTGAATGAATAAAAAAACCCAGATAAACAAAAACCCCTTTCAATATGGTCTAGATAACAGAAAATGGAAGAAACCATGAAAAAGTATTCAGTGGTTTTATATATATTTTACACTGATTCTTCACAGGGTATGACTTACTTATGCTTGATTTCTTTAATCAAACAAATAATCAAACAAACCAACAGTAGATTGTTTGTCTTGTTGAAGACAAATGTATCTGTTGTAATTCACCTTGGACTAAAGTACTCAGTTAATGTAGTGTTTTTATGATTAGTGCATACAAACCAATCAGACCCTGCTGTGCTTTTATTTTGGGGAATGTATTTACTGCTACTTTTAAACAGTGAAGTTGTCACCTTGTACAGTATTTTAATATAAACCCCATCTGCTATATCTGCTATATATTCCAAGTCCTCTCATTTATCCTCTGTTTTGTTGCTGCTGCATCTCTGTATTATCTTCAGCAGCAACCCAGATTGTCCTAAGGGATCCATTAAAGTTTAATTTTATTGTAACCCTGAAAGCTGTACACAAGTTACTCATCAGCTGCGTGGAACCAGGAAAATAAAGTCACATATTCCACGTTTCCATAAATCATCTTGTAAACGTGACAGAGGTCTCATCTCCCAACAGTGAGGAAGGTTTGCGTTGATGAGTAGAAATAATGGGCCTGTTTTGCAGGGCCTGCGGTACACCGGCAGGACTGTTATGGCCTCTTTTTTCAGTAATGACAGCCGTTTGTATTCACAAACAAAGCTAATTTCTGGAGTGCTCAGTGCATAATGAATTTACAAGCTTGTAGAGGCGGTTGTAACTGCTGCCCCACTGGTAGCTGTATCCTGATAACATCAGCAGCATGTTATATGACCCTCAGGGTGATACTGTGTCAGGGCTGATGTTGGTGTTCAACGACGATGACTTTGTGCACTTGAGCAGGAAGTTTTATTGAATATAATAATTAACAGTTTGGTTAATGATTTAGTCTTGAACTCTCTTCAGATAGCAAGCTGCTCAGCTGTTCAGTGTCAGCCGTACTATGATAGAGAAGTAGTGATACTATACTAAGCAAACTGCGTCACCTTTTAATTTAAACTATTTTCACAATAAAGGTCATAATGTCATTGATTACTAATTGTTCTTCCCTACAAATGACCTACAGTTATTTGATCAATCCACAGTTGACAAGCAACCTGTTGCCTTTTGCACAGTGTGTATCGTTGTGTTTCTTATTTGCCATTTTATCAGAGAAATGATAGTGAATAGGAGCTAATGACCAGCTCCTCCCTCACTGGTCATTAACACGACACTGGTTTCCTGAGGCAGACAGATTCAAAGGTTAAAAGCCTTTTATTGGAGCCATGTTGTTGATCTCCGGCCCCGCAGTGATGCCGGAGGTGACTCGTGGATGGACGAGGTCCCACAGGTGACAGATGGGGATGTTTTTAGCCTCCTAATTTATTCCTGGGTTTTATTTTTTTTGACAGGAACACTATAACTGGGAGACAGGAGGCTATTTTTTTTGTCTGGTTCCTCTCGGTTTTGCCCTCAGTGGAAGGGACATTAAGGTGGTTATGACTTTAATCAGTCCCCATTTGCCTCGAAAAAACATCTTGTGCATTGCTTGTTGCCCTGTAATGACAGAAATGTGAAAGTCATACTTTCATAATAAGATGATAAGATGTTTCTTTATTGATCCCCTTTGTGAGAAATTCATGTTACTAATGATAATAATAATAATAATACACTTTGTGATTTGGGATACAACTTTCCACAATGGTTAGGAGTGGGAATTCTTTGATATGGGTGTGAATACAATACTGATACCAAAACAATACTTTTTTCAGTTCCTTAGTTTGAGGATCACAAATATGTTTCTGTGCTATATAATTTTCTAAATGCAAGTCATAAAGAAGAGTTCATGGTAAATGCTAAAGCGCAGTACATATGTAGAGCAGCAGCACAAGTAGAAACAAAATAAAAACTGACCCAGTAATGTCAGTAACATGAAATATCTAAAGTCTGCTAACGTGAGCCACCGCCTACCCCTCATATTAGCCAAGGCTGTAGTGATTTAACTGTTTTTATTGCTTATAAATTCAGCACTGTAGAAACCTGAGGCGACGTAGAAGGCGGCTTTTGTCACAGCCAGTTCTTGGACATCGGTTTGGTGTGTCAGGCATTTTAGACCCTCAACTGACTGCTAAATGTGTCTCTTGAACTCCAATCCCCTCAAATTGTAATACAAACTGTAAGCTGTTCCCCTCATGATGTTGTGGAAACTCAACTGATCTCCATGTGCAATATCAGTGGAGAACCCCTTTAACACAATCTGACCAAGCCTTCACTGCTATCTTTTACTACTTTACAGGTTTCTATAGTTGAGTCTATGGACACAATGCAATGTATACATACCTATCCCAAATAAGGTGCCACTTGATTTCAAACTACTATTAGAACCCAATACAAACATAACATCAATGTTTTCGTAAGGCAACAGCAGAATTACGTTATTGACATTGTATTTTTATGACGTGGTTTTTTGGATTACATTTTTTTTTTTTAAATGCTCAACATTGTTCAGTAAACTTAAAAAAAAAAACCCACAAAGGATTACAAACAGCAGATTCAGTTTTGTTTTTCCTGAGATTGTACTATCCTCTTGATCAGTACAATGGTGGAAAGAGTTTGTGTGTACACACCTTTGATACTTCTAAGATGTAGATATTTTCTGGGTAAATGTTATAAAATGTAAAGATTATACCTGGAAAAACTGTAATGGCATGCAAAGCTGAGCCATCAGTGATGTTGAATCACGTCTAAATGAAGGTGTATTTTTATTTTTTTCCTTTTTTGCAGCCAATCATGACACCAGTCAACATTCACTGTTGAAAGTTATTTTAATCAGTGAATTCCCCTCATTTAATGTCCGGTTGGAATTACGTTGTGTACAGTATACATCTGGTGTTTGGCACACAGGTGTTTCTAACCATCACGCAGCCTTTTGTAGTGTGCAGTGTCTGCTTATCCTGCCAGTAGAGTAAAGGTCATGTCCTTGGTGTAGCAAAGGAAGAATAAACTCAAGCTCAGCGGTGCCTACTCACAGCAGTTATAGGTATTTTTTTTACGAGTTTATCTCTGTTAGTGTTCTTCGACCCGGGGCCAGCAGGAAAGGCTTCCACTTACTTTAGTGCAGCCTGTCATCGCCTCAGAGGTTAGTAATGATGAGTTATCTTTGGGTAACGTATCTGGCCCACGGCACCCGACCCCCGTGCCTTGGCTCCACCCCTCAGTTGCTGTTTCACGCCCCTGCAGAAAAGGACACTGTTATTTCTGGGTACCAAGGTTAGGCTAGGTCATGTGTGAGATTTGGTCGAGCTATGTCCTGGCAGAAAGTCCAGGACACAATAAGACAGTTCAGCAGTGCCAGTGAAATAATCTGCACTGTATGTGAGTGGAAGTGACTTTATATAAGTTTGTGCAATCCTTCAAAGACTGAGTTCACAGTCGGCATGTGGCATGTTGTGATATGATCTGCCCATCTGTTTCTGGAGGCTTTTCCCCTCGAGTCAGCTGTTTGACGTGGGTGGTGGGGTCATGGTGGTGGGGGTGTTAGACTATACTGATGAGAGATGCATGAAGTGGCTTTGGCTGCGTCCACTGTTTGTGGACGTTCTACAGTGGCAAGTTTCCTCTTCTAGCTTGGCTTCGTTTCACACCTCACTCTTGGGCTTTGGCTCAGTTACGAGGGACTGACATAACAGCTTTGTTTCTTTATTGTGTGGCATCGGATCAGATAACAGATAAACAGTGACCACACACATCCATTATGTTGAAGCACCACGGTTGCAACTGTTTGTTTAAATTCGGCAGCTGTTAAATGTTGGATTTTTGGAGAACACTGCAAAACTATTGCTTTGACACGTCTTGTGATTTTGCCAAGTGAAATCATCACGTCTCTAAGCAGGACTGTTGTATTACACTGCAGTAGTTTTAGCGAGGTGTACCTAATAATAAACTGGCGAATGAGTGGAGTTGAGGTTCTTAGTTCCTTAGTTTGGATTTTCTACATATGCTAATTCTGTCTTTTCGTGTAGGCATCAAGTGCATTGTTTCTTGATTTATAGTATTATGAGTAGTAGCTATATTTCAGTGGTATATTACTCACAGTAATACACAGAACATAGCATAATAATCCAAAGTAATACAGCAGCAGAAACATGTAACAACAAACAAAGTTGTTCTACTGGGTGGGAACTGGAAAGCCACAGTAAGAGACTGGGCTAAAACTCCATTGTTTGGATTTCAGACCATCATCACAGTAAAGACAATGACAACAAACAGCAGCCCCCTTTGTACCACTTCCTAAAAAGCCTCTGTGTAAAAAACACTCTGTGAACTGGAAATTGCAGAAACAACTTCAGTGTTTCATCAGTTTGTTGTGAAGCCGGCAGATGAGCAATAACCATAAACTGTATGAACTATATGACCCATAACATCTACTCTGAGCTGTGAACTACAACACAGAAATGAATATGTACACTGTAGTGTATGCAAATATACACATACTGACTACTGTACATGCTCTTCACATTGGCAAAGCAGTACATGTACTGCACGACGGACTTTTAATGACACGTTTGGTGTTTTTGACTAAAAGGCCACACAGTTGAATCCTCGTACTATCTGGGGAAAAAGCAGGGACAGTTAACGAGTGGCTATTGATTTGATATATTTAAGGTTAGACAACTGGAGGCCTTAAGGAAACCCAGAGGGTAACACATTAAAGTGTGAAATAAATTGAATTGTAGTTGATGATTTAATAATGATACGACTGCGTCCATCAAGGATGTTACATAAGTGGCTGCGTCCAAAAAGAGACACGTAAACCAGAGTAATGTGATCCACCTCAATGTACATACACAATAGAGAGACAGTCTGGCGTCTCTTCAGGCGCTGCCGCCATGGCAACAACAAACAGCAGTATGGGCCCTTTTAGAAAATGAAATGTGATGAGTCAGCAGCAGCAGGCTCACGTGGAGTCGATGAAGTTATTAAAGATGAAGTGTGGATCATCTCAGCTGTGAGGAGCTGTGAACCAGACTAAAGGACCTGGGCCCGTCTTTATCAAACTGCTGTAAAGACTCTTTGATTCCTACTTATAGACCGAAGTGAGCAGACACCTTCTGACACATGTTAAGGAGTGTGCAATAAACTATATAGCTATTATACATACAGCTGAGGCAGTATAATATATAATGTGGTAGTTTTAGCCTTTTATTCAAATTTGAACATTTAATAGGCAATGACAAGCTGACATTGATTTGAATGACTGCACTCGTCAATGTGGATTTAAACACACACTCACTATGGATTAATACATATGTAAACTGCCATCATCCACAAATATTTCAATAGTCAACATACCAGAAATTCTTTTCTAACTAAAATGTTCAAATCTAATCTTTTTTTCTTGACTGTTGCAATAACCCAGTTTCCTCATGAATCAATAAAGGTTTTCTTTCTTTCGTAGTGTTACAGCTGATTTTACAGAGCTGACTTCTGTTTCACAAATGGTGGATGTTGAACGCTGCAACGAGGGTACTGTGTGTGTGTGTGTGTGTGTGTGTGTGTGTGTGTGTGTGTGTGTGTGTGTGTGTGTGTGTGTGTGTGTGTGTGTGTGTGTGTGTGTGTGTGTGTGTGTACACACATATCTATTAGATATTAGGTTTTTTTGCAGTATATGTATAGTTGCACAACTGTAACTGCCAAATGTCAATGTTTTCAAGTTTTGCTCTTTTGTGTATCTTAGTTTTACCCTAAAGGAATTGTTGAAAAAGTTGCTCATCCAGTTTCTGTATGTGTTTATTTTACGTTTTATTCCTAGGTTAAGGACAACAGTGCACAGATGACTGTGGAGACTCCAGAGTGGGACATGTTATCTCTCAGAGCCAGACCTCCTCTGTCCTGACACAGGGAGTTTTACAACCAGGATCTTAACTGTCTACCTCAACACACGTGGAGTTCGCTCCCTCTGTTCTACCTCTTAGGACATCCACCGCTCTTTTTCTACCTCAGCACGTACTGTACACACACAGACGCACATAGCTGTTATCAGCCCGCCCAGAAACACCAACAGACCCTTCACTTTATCGCCAGGCTTTCAGGTGTCAGTCATCTAGCGACGGTGTAACACAGTTGACTGGGTTTCTTCTGGCTCAGCTGCTTGAGGAGCCACCCTAAGCAGCCATGTTGGACATGGGTTTGTGATGTTCAAGCCCTGCAACGGACCAGGACCAGGACAAGAAATAAGACCAGGAGCAGGGGAAGGACTGGGGCAGGGTCAGAGAGACATTCCTCGATTTGTGCTTGGCTGTGAAGATGACGAGCAGGACATGGGCCAAATGGAGGCAGGCATGAAGAACGAGATGTATCGAGAAGAGGACATGGAGGATGATGAAGATGAGTCGGTATGTGACAGGTGTTAATTGAGGTGTACACACAGCTGGTGTTTTTAAGGTGTACACGGTCTAACATGTTTTTGTAGGTGTTAGATCAACAATTTTTTGTTGTGAATGTGTAAAGGTTTTTTATGAGCAGTGTCGATTTTAAAGTATCACAGAAGTAGTTGTACTTTATAGTGTGTGAGTGTTTGTATAGTTTTTATTTATGACTTAATAGTGTAAGTGAATAGTGAATGTGAATTTACAGTGGAAAAAACATTTAATTTTGGAACAGGATTCCAAAGCTTTGGCCATTTTGGGCAGTAGGAAACAGGCCTGGACCTTTTTCAAAGAGGAGAGTTTTATTTGGAATTGGACAGCAAGGAAAAAAATATACCGAAATATACGAAGGCTGGCGTGAGAACAATGTGGTAGATAAACAACTTAAAGACATCTGGTCAGTTGTTTAGTCCTGGAGCTATAAAAGGACTTTATGATAGTGCTGTGTTAGCTGCTCCCTTACTTACTGTGATTTCCTCTTTCTTTGTCTCAGAGTTTTTGTCTCTGTTTTACATTTTTAACTGATGTGTCATTGAAGTTTAGTTAATACAGTCACCTCAACCACTGTAGCACACCAGTAAAGACTTTCTTGCTGATTAATGTAAGAATCAGTGTACACAAAAACAGTTTAGTTTAATGTTATCTCAAGAATCATATACATTTTCCATGGATGTGGTTAAGTTTTAACCTGTTGATAAAGAAATAACTTTTACCTGTTTGTATTAAGTTACAGTGACATTTCGATTGATGACCTGATGATAATAATGAATCAATACACAGCTGATCGGTCACAAATTGGCAATAAAAGAATTGTTTTATCAGTTGTCACTACCCTTGTTTTACTTGTCATCTTTCTCCATCTCTCTCTTCACTGCCCTGGTCCTCTCCACCAGCCACCAGAGCGACAGATTGTGGTTGGCATATGTGCCATGATGAAGAAATCCAAATCCAAGCCAATGACTCAAATCCTTGAGCGCCTTTGTAAGTTTGACTACATCAACGTTGTCATCTTTCCCGAGGAAGTGATCCTGGAGGAACCTGTGGAGAAATGGCCCCTCTGCGACTGCCTCATCTCCTTTCACTCCAAAGGTAAAATCTAAAAAACATCCTGTTACAAGAGGGGAAATGGTGGCTGGTCCCTAAATGCTCCGGAGAGGTGTGAGAGGTTTTTGTAGCTTCACTGGCTACAATGATTTACTAAAACATATGGAGTAAGCCATGTTTTGCCTTTCCTCCAGGTTCCTATTTGCTTTAAGCTGTTCAGATGCAGCCTTTGTGTTCTGAAATTGCATCATGTTTTGCCATAAATAACAGCTCAATGTAAAGTAACAATACAACAGAAATAATCTTAATCTGTTCCGTAAATTGAATGTTCTCTTGAGAAATATTGGTACATAAAAAGCCTTACCATATTTGGAGAGTTTGCCAGGTTTGTGTCAGGTTGTCTGGCAGCAAACAGCCAGTAGCAGTTTATGGGAATGTCTCAATGGGAAACAAAGAGAACTGTGGGACTGGAAATATCTATTTACGGCTTGTAATTAATTTTATTCCCCAGCCGACCATGTCTGGTTTACGAAGGCAGAACGAGGTGAACGAAATCAACATACCTCTCTGTGTATATTCCCCCCATCTTAAATGACACACAAACACATTTTGACACATTTACATCAGGAGCTCAAACATTAGGAAATGCTTTTAAAGCAGCCAAATACAAAGGATGAACCTACAGTATTTTAAATATATTATACATGCATTTATACACTATTTAAGTAATTTTTCCTCTGACTCTGATCTGTCTTTCAGTGTGTATTTGAGTCAGAGTTTATCACATGGGACTGTTTTTACATTCTATTTTTAAAAGAATGAGATTTGTGTATTGTAGTTCTGACCTTGGGAACATAGTATGAGTCCTGTATTGGTATTATTATTATTATATTGTCTATCAGGCTCTCATGCAGAGCAATACTGTGAATATTGAGAACAATGGCCTTGAGAATGTGTGTTTTTATAGCCACCTGTGACATATAATATGTACCTACCTTAACTGTTGTATTTAAAGAGTAACTAAACTCCCAAACTGCTTTTTTCAGCTGAAAACCAATGTATGTGGTTATTAAGTAGTGTTGTTAATCGTAGCTGTAGCCTCCCACTCCCCTCTAAGCCGCTAGCATAGCTAACATTACAACACAGGTACCACACAGAAACCTTTACCAATGTCTGTGAATGTGCTTCTAGTGACTGTCTCCACGCTGGAAACACAGAGAGAGCACTGGAGCTTTCAGAGTCTAAAAGCAGCTGCTCATGGCTGTTTAGACCTCTGAGTGGTCAGTCTGTCACTTTGGATGATGTAGCCACAAGGCCACGGCCCCTATAATGATTCTACTGTGCAGGCTTCTGCTGCATTTTTACAGTTTGCTGAGAGGGTGGGAGCTAGGAGAGTTTAGGGGCTAAGTTACAGTTTAACATTTATTACTATTGACTGCTGTTTGCAAGACAGATTGCCCTCATGGTGTTACTAATGAACGCTGACCAGTCCAAAATATTGTGAGTTAATCGGGTATATCTGATAACGGCCGAACAAATCAGAAAGGTTATGTGTTGGTAAATATTCCATCAGTAAGTAAAGCAAGTAAAAACCTATCCAAAAGGATTGGACGAATCCGACCTGCGGCCCTTTGCTGCGTGTCATTCTCTCTCTCTGCCCCCCTTTCCTGTCTATCGTCAGCTGTCTCTATCATAAAGGCAATAAAGGCCTAAAAAAAACCTCATAAGGATCCATTTAAATGACTAGACAGATTAAACATGTTACACAGTTTATTAATTCATCAGCTGGGTGGGTCAACACATTTTCAACCAACAAATAAGAGAAGACAATGCAGGATTTATTAAATGTCATCACCTCTATGTTCCCACCAAACATTAAACTCAACTTTTGTTTTCATTTGGCTTCTTGCAGGAAGTATTTCTGTTCTAAAGGCTGATGGGAGGCAAAGTGATCAGCACACTTCCAACTTAACCCTCTTTTTGACCTCACATGAACCAGCAAGACAATTTTTCTAATCACAACACAGTAAAAATACTCTTTATTAAATTATTAAATATGCTTGGATGCATATAGGCTCAGTCACTATTGTGTCAAATAATCAGGCAACAGATGATAGAAAAGCAGAAATGTTTTAACAAAATTATTTGTCAGTGCTGGTTGAGCATGGATTAATGAAGATAGTATTAATTCTTACGTGTGGGACATTTTCAGGTTTCCCTCTGGACAAAGCTGTGGAGTATGCCAAGCTCAGGAATCCACTACTCATCAATGACCTCAACATGCAGTATTTCATACAGGACAGGTAAAGTTTGACACACAAACACAGGGTTTAGGGGTATCCAAAAAAAAGTTTTTAATTTTAAATTAATGGTCCCCACTAAGATGTCGATTACACGTAAAATGATGATCACTTATTGCATCGTTCAATAAGTTACTTTCAAACTCAATACAACATGTTAGCAGTTGCAGTTTTTTCTTCCTAATCAGGAAACTTACCTAATAAACCTTATTCCTGTTTGACTGCCGACCCTAGCGTCACACACATAGGCTCACTGTGGTTATGCTTTTTGGAGGTTGTTTTTAATGGCGTTTTATTCCCTGCCAGGAGGGAAGTGTACCGGATCTTACAGGAAGAGGGCATTGACCTACCTCGTTATGCTGTGTTAAAACGAGATCCCGACAATCCTGAAGGTGAATAAGAGTTCTTACTTTGTGTTGGATTGTTTGTCTGTTTGAACGTCCTGTTATGGTAACAAACTAAAGCAAACCCGGCAGTTCCAAGAAAAATGTACTAGATGATACAGCTGTGATATATGGCAGCATACAGGACACCAGTAACTTAATAATGTATTAGTATTTTTCACTCAACCAAAACCAGAAACCCAAGTTGAATTTCCTGAATGTAGCTGAGTTTGTTTGTTTACCACTATTTTTTCTCCTAGAAAATTGTGATAGTAAATATTTGAAATTAACAATATTACAATGCTGTTTATTTATTATTTAGTTTTTGCTTCCCTTTTTGGCCAGATGCCTTTTGGAAATTGGATATCTTAGTAGATGTCCCGGTTAAATAAAGCAAGTCTGTTGTCTGTTGTTGCAGTCAACATTCAGTGTTGCTGACTGGTATGTTCTTATTTGTGTATTTCCCTTGTCTGTAGCATCCCTGTTGCTTATTGACTTTGTTATTTTTAGTATGTGTTTTAAAGATTTCCCAGTAAAATGAATTTAAAACAACATTTTCCCCTGTGCAGAGTGTAACCTGGTGGAGGCGGAGGACCATGTCGAAGTGAACGGGGAGGTGTTCCCTAAACCCTTCGTGGAGAAACCTGTGTGTGCCGAGGACCACAATGTCTACATCTACTACCCAACATCTGCTGGAGGGGGCAGCCAGAGACTCTTCAGAAAGGTAACTGTCTCCCAAGCAACGCAGGAAAACAGATTCTGTCATTTTCAGATGCTGCTGATCCAGAGACCCTTACAACAAGGAAGCAGAGTTCAGGAAGTTGCTAAAAGTCACACTGCTTGTAAACTTTGCCATTCATGGAGAATTATAAGCCTAATATGTCAAGCCAACTGTCCTGACATGCTCGTGAGTATTATTGTGATAATAATGTTTTATTACTTTTTAAGAAAATCCTTCAATATTTTTGGTTGGGACTCAGTGTTGTAGCATGGTTTAATCACTTCTAAGAACAAAATGTAATAAAAGGAAAATAGGTCACACTGACCGGTTGTATGGCTGCTGCAGGGTTAAACCTGTTAGCTTTTTGGTATCGGCACAGTTAAACAGTACAGTGTGACATCAGTGACACAAAGTACTATTTGGAAACAGATGGAGGAAAGGTTGGGTAATGAGGGAAAAAATAAAAAGATTTTTATTTACAGGATGCAGATTACTTTGACTTTGCCCTTTTGAAATGATCTTCTTTGTCGCGCTCTCTCTGCCTCTTTGCTGTAGATAGGGAGTCGTAGCAGTGTGTACTCTCCAGAAAGCAGTGTACGAAAGACTGGATCCTACATATACGAGGAGTTCATGCCCACAGATGGTACTGATGTGAAGGTACTGTTGACGTTCACTTGGCTCATGTGGATTCCTCATGCAGTTGACCAGTTAGTGAAATATAGAAATTATCATCATCTGCTCTAAGACACGTTCTGTGTTTGTGTGTCATCTGCCCCTGTGTGTGTTTTTTATCTGGTGTTTCTGGATACCTCAGGTTTACACAGTGGGTCCAGACTACGCCCATGCAGAGGCCCGGAAATCTCCTGCCCTGGATGGAAAGGTGGAGAGGGACAGTGAGGGAAAGGAGATCCGCTACCCTGTCATGCTAACTGCCATGGAGAAACTGGTGGCCCGCAAGGTCTGCCTTGCCTTCAAGGTAAACTTTAGTGATCATGTCGAGGATGCAGGAAAACAAGAAAAAGATGGTCAGGAAACCTGCATTTTTTTGGAAAACTGCATTATTTATGGGCTTGTGGATCTTGCCTTGTCTGTTTTTATTGCTGAACAAGCCATTAGTGGTCAAAAACTCTGCTGGGCATCTTTTTTTATTTGCAGTAGTCCATTTGTAGCTAACACAAACATTGCATCATTGTGTTTAGCTGCTTGAGATTTTGCTATCATCCCATTAAACCCTTTTTAGAGCAGGGAGAAAATATCTTTAAACCAATTACTGTAAACACAGAGCCTCTATATATTCACAATGTTGATATTTAATTGTTTTACATACCACCTAAATACAACATTTTTAATATCCCTGGTGAATGGGAGCTGCCAGAAGCACTTTTTCTAAAGCTATTACCATGAGAATTATTCACATCACACTCTTCTGACATTACACCGTGCTGTCAACAGCAAACATTAATCAAATAGGGAAGCTATTGGATGCTGACTGAAGGCAGGCTTTATGTCAGGCTTTATGTTTTTAATAATAAAACTCACTTCTACTCACAACCTCATCACTCCAGACTGTATATCTGTGTTTTTCTTTTCTTTCTCCACATCGTGTCTAAATGTATGTTTTGTGTGTGATTGTAGCAAACAGTGTGTGGGTTTGATCTGCTCCGAGCCAACGGCCACTCCTTCGTCTGTGATGTTAACGGATTCAGCTTCGTCAAAAACTCCATGAAGTACTACGACGACTGTGCCAAAGTCCTGGGGTAGGTGGCATCAGCTTACACACTTTATACAACATTAACACAACTTTACCGATCCATTAACAGATTCAATTAGAGTAGAACACTGAAATATAACAATTTATTTCTATCTTTGACCACAAGCTTACAGAACAGAAATCTCACATGTACCAATACAGTTTACATAAAGATTGTGTAATAAATCTATTTAATTGGAGTAGCCAGTATTGAAAATAATAGACACCAGAATCTTGCTAAACCAAAGCCTCCAGGGAACACAAATTAATATAATTGTAATTTATGATAAACATATTCATGTCTTCTTCTGGATTGTATAGTTGGATTGTGAAGAAAAATAATTCTCTTCTTGTTTTTTTATATCCCCTCGTCTCTGGCACTTATTAGCATTTTCTTGTTGTCCCTATTTTAAAAATAAATTCTGCCTTGAAGCTGTCATGTTGTAATTTATGGACAGCTTGGAGGATCTAGTTGTCAGCTTTACATCTTAGTTTGTTTCTGATTTATCACCTCTCCTTCGAGGCAAAGTAACTGAAGCTTTACGACTAAAGACTCATAAATGTCATGAATAAAAAAGGAAATGTAGCTTCTCTCCAGTACTGGATACTAGCAAGGTGTGATACTTAGGTAGCAAACAGTAGTGTGCAAAAACCCTTTGTTTGGTCCAGACTTTTTAGGTTATCTTAGGTTTCTTTTGTTTGCATATAAGATATCTCAGATCAAACTTAAATTAAACTTTAAATCAGAATATTAAAATAAAACTGATTGGCACACCAAGGAGCCTACAGAGTTCATGGCTGAATGGTTACTTTTACTTTGTATTTAATGCTCTTAATGCTTAATACCTTTAAATCTGTTATTACTTTTGTCTGTCTCTCCAGGAACATGGTGATGAGGGAGTTAGCCCCCCAGTTCCACATCCCCTGGTCCATCCCGATGGAAGCTGAAGACATCCCCATCGTCCCAACAACCTCAGGAACCATGTAAGTACTAAAACAATATGAAATATTGTTTATATGGTGTTCATGGGTTCCTGGAAAACTGGTAGAAAGTATGTTGATAAATGGACTTATCAGTAAGGTCTTCAGTGTTTTCCATAATAATTAGATTGTCTGAGAGTACTAAATCGTTGCAACCAGAATCAAAATGAAATGATAAATAGGAATCCTGTGGTCTCTCATTTAAGTGTCATGTTTTGATGCCAGTTTTAATTATGGAAACAGTGTTTCCTGTAGGATTTTTTTTTAGCAGTGGGGGCAGGCCTGTCCGACAGCCCCAATAACCTCTGAATAGTTCTACTTGTTGTTAAATTGCAATGTGAGTGGCAGCCAACCGGGGTGCATTATGTCGGCAGGATCATTTAAAAGGCAACCGTGACTATCGTGGCGGCGGAAATTTAACAATGGCGGGCCCCCGCTCCAAAATCAACATAGAGGAAACACTGGGAAATTTCCGAATGGACCCCCATGTGTGAAAACATTTTCCTTAGACAAATAAACGTTGTGGAAAAGCAACCCTCACATACTGACACAGAGTGACTCTGGATCACTGACCCACTGACCTCCTCACGCACTCAGAGACTGAAGTCTGAAATCTCATCTGTCTCTGTGGTGCCAGGGACACGAGCAGTGAGTGCTGAGCAATGCTTTTCATGGTTGGATGGTTGGATGGTTGGATAAAGTGTTTGTCGAGGTGTTTGTCGAGGTGGGATGGTGATTTTAGATTTCTGCCGCAATAACATTTTGTGCTATCCACTCTTCTACCGAATTCAGGATGGAGCTGCGCTGTGTTATTGCTATCATCCGTCATGGAGATCGCACACCAAAGCAAAAGATGAAAATGGAGGTCCGACATCCTCTGTAAGTTTCTTGGATCCAGCATTAAGGAGTCTTTCCCTCTTTCTGTTGGCATATCTTTCAAATATTTGGTTTGATGTGACATTTTTTCTTGCACAGATTCTTTGAGTTGTTTGAGAAGTATGGAGGCTACAAGTCAGGAAAGCTGAAGCTGAAGAAGCCAAAACAGCTTCAGGTGAGTGGGACTGAATTCAATACCTTGATCTGTCTTTTTCCCACCCTCCTCTGCCTCTTTATTTCAGGGGTTTTTTGTGTGTGTTTTTTTACAGATTACGACTAAATCCTTTTCAGAATAATGAAGGGTTTCAGAGGATATGGTTACGGTTGCACATATCAAGCTAATTATTATTATCGCTCACAAAACATTATTCTGTTGTCTAAATATTTATGCTAAGCTGTCTAAATCCACTCACACTCACTGCATTCATCCCGTCACTCCATCATCTTTTTGTAAAACATTTTTAAAGCTGCCATCTTCACTGTCAGTCTTATTTGACATGGTTATTCAGACAGGCCATTTGCAGAGGTTCCAGTGAATGTTTAGTCTGCCAAGTAAAATTACAGATAAGTGTCAAATTAAGGATAACTGCCTCTGTGTTTCCAGGAAGTGCTGGATATCGCCCGCCTGCTGCTGGTTGAACTGGGCCAGCACAATGACTGTGAGATCGAGGAGAAGAAATCTAAACTGGAGCAACTCAAAACTGTCCTGGAGATGTGAGTGAAGTCTTACATCAAACACGCACTCTCTCACAAACACACGAACGCGCAACATCAGTCATCATCTTCCTGTTTCCTTCATCATCATTCATCAAAAGTCATTCATGGTCAACTAGCTTCATCTTTCAACACTGCACCAGACACATGTTTACCTTGATTCGCTCTCTCCCTCTTGAGTCTCTAACTCTTTGCTGTATCTTTTCTTTCCTCTTCTGTCTCTCTTTTCTCCTGCCCACCCATCCCTTTTTCTTTTTCTCCAAAAGGGAATCCAGCTTGAATGACACTCAGTACGCACCCTCTCCCTTCTTACTTTAAAGGATGAGGTTTTACCACCCTCCTTTTCTTTAGTCCTCTTAGACTGTGTGTACATAATATTAGGAATACCTTGTCAGACCAGTCCAAGATGAATATAGGTGAAAGTTGTGATTTCCGCATCACTTACACCCATTTAAATTGTAGATGAAGAGATATAAACAGGGGTAAATAAGGTAGTTTAGACACGGCTTGTGCAAGATTAGGAATTTGAATTAATATTTAGAAGGTATTCCTAATGTTTTGTACACTGGGTGTATCATTTTCATTAACATCCATTCATTTTTAGCCATTAACACTGGACACATACACAGTCAAATGTCTTTGATGATTTCACTGTGTTTCCATGCGTGTAAATCAGTGTGTGCTATGCTACTTTGTGTGCATGCTGTTCTTTCCACATATCAAGTGGAGTCTAAATCTTCTAATGTCTTCCTTCCTTCCTCCTGCCTTTTATCAGCATTTACAATAATTTTAGTGATTTGCTGGCGTTCTCCATAGAGATTGGAATGAGTGCAACAACCAAATAATCTGGAAGTCCTAGATTATCAAAATTACAAGAAATGCAAGTTTCAAAACATCAGTAGAAAAGATATTGCTATGTTCTAAAGTGAATATGTATAAAAAAAGTTATTTTTTTATAAGTAAAAACCAGGGAGAAAAGACACAGTCCACAGAAACTACAACTAAGTTCAAGAGTAATCCCCCTCAGTCAAAGATACTCTACTTCAAAAAAGCTTGTGTTGTAAATTTTAGATAAACTTCTACAGTGTGATCTTGCATTAGTGTCAAATCTGTTCTTCTGTGACAACCTTTACAAACACAAACATATAGTTAACTAGTTTAATCCTACAATAAAAGGTTTTTGTTCTCGCATTCCCTCTGCTTTGGTCTATAAACACATCTGACCACAAACTGGCTCTTTTAGCTCCTAAATGCTCCACTATGTTCACCAGTGTGCTGTTTGGTGCTGGGCAGGTAGTGTGCAGTTGTTTTATCAGACCCTTTAAAAAAAAAAAAAAAAAAAACTGCACTAATGAGCGGGGAGACTGACACAACACAGTAAAGTCACAGATTGTAGAAGCTCTGTAGAGCTGAGGAAAATAACACACTGATTGTTGTTGGTTCGTCACAGCGAGTTCGACACCTTTCACATACAAATAGTAATACGATCTGTTGTGAATATAACAGTATTGATTATAGCTGCCCTGTGCTCTTATAACACACATTTTCTGTATAAATGATATGTGCAGTCATCAAGAAATGCAGACGCTTAAGTTTAATAGAATATCGAAAGCTATTACCTTTTTGAATTGTACCATGCATTCCTAACTGAGTGCTGGAGTTAATTAGGCGAAAATGTAAAATGCCTCCCTGACTAATAATAGGGTGTGTGTATGAGAGAGTAGTGTAGTGTATTGATGCAGTAATCCACACTCATCTGAAACTCCAGTAGATGCAAACAAATACCAAGAATCACATGACCTTGATGTGCTGTGTGATGGTGTTTGTTTTAGTTGTGGGTCTTTGACAGCAGTTCAGATTTTATGGCCTCCTGCCAGAGTCATTTATCCTGGTTCAGGGTCCATCATCATGTGGCTTTTTGAGGCGTCAGCTCAGCTGCCTATCCTATTAGAGAACACGATGCAGTCATTAGTCTGCAGGATGTGCCAAATTCTTACTGAAGCACATTGCGTGTGGCGAGTGCAGGCTCCTTCTATGTGTTAGCATGTGACTTTTAAAAGTTCCGACAGGATTAAAGTCGCCATTTATTTTCACCTTGTACCATTTTAAAAGCAGTCACGTACTCACACTTTCTCTTTTGTTCTCATGCCCACACACTGAAATCAAACTTGGAGGTCCATTGAAGCTGCTGGTCTAAAGTACCTGCTGAGTGACTGAGTTATCATTAAACCATTCTCTAATACTGGCACTCGGTTGTGTGTATGATTAGTGTGTCAGATTTGAAAATGTTGTCGCTTTGTTTCTGTCTTTTCTCTTAGCTCTTAGTTGGAATGGATATGGAATAGAAGTCAGACGTGTGCAGTTTAATATTTAAACAAAATATTTGAAGATGGGATAAATTGTTCCTGTGCATCTGTGTGTCCTTACTGTATGTCTGTCTGTCTATGTGCATATCAAAATTTGTTGTGTCTGCTATGTGTGTGTGTGCGTGCTGTCTCTCCAGGTACGGTCACTTCTCAGGTATCAACAGGAAAGTCCAGCTGACCTACCTGCGGAACGGCCAACCTAAAGCCTCAAGCGAAGAAGAAGGTATAAACGTCACACACACAGAGAGCTACATTAGACAAACACAAATTGTGTGTGTGTGAGAAACTGAATTTTATTTTATTTGTTTTATTTCCTCTTTTCAAATTCAACTTTTGGTAAAATAAATTATCTAGTGTGAGTAATTGTCAGATTTTGGATCTTAATCTTGTAAAAAAGATGAGATATAAGAGGAAACCAAACCGCTGATTCATTAAGTTTATCCATATCAACAGCAAAACATTAAAGATTCAGCCAGAAAAATATGAAACGCTTAACATATGCAAAGTGCTCCGTTAGGATTGTATTTTAAATACTGAAGGTAAACAGACAACATCCAAGTTTTTCCTGTCCATTTCCCCAAATGAAAGCTTGGAAACAGATGAATTATGAATGGAATGAATAACGATATGCTGCTGTTTTCCAGACTCTAAGAAGGAGGGCCCATCTCTGCTGCTTGTGTTGAAGTGGGGCGGGGAGCTGACGCCTGCAGGCCGGGTTCAGGCTGAGGAGCTGGGCAGGGCCTTTCGCTGCATGTACCCTGGAGGTCAAGGTAACTATTAGACACTCACTCACATTAGCTAACAGATGCACTTAAAGGGATTCTTCTACTTTGACTTTGATTATTATGTATAAATCAAGTTCTTCCATGTTGTAATGTGATTTTTTTTTTTTTTTTTTGTCTATCATAAATATTTCTAGTACAGTTGGGTTGGAAAAAACAGCTTAAAGGTCCAGTGTGTAACATTTACAGGATCTATTGGCAGAAACTGATATTATAGGTATGTTTTCATTAGTGTATAACCGCCTGAAAATAAGGAAAGTTGTTTTTTGTTAACTTAGAATAAGCCATTTGTATCTGGAAATGGAGTTTGTTCTCTTCCATGTTGAACCACTATGTTTCTACAGTAGCCTAGAGCGGACAAACCGAACCCTGGCTCTAGATAGGGCCTTTTTTCGTAAGTTTTGCGGCCACCATAGTTTTTCCTACACATGGGGCTAAATTGTATTCAAATTGCAATCTGCAGCTTTGCCCCTAGACGCCACTAAATCCTACACACTGCTCCTTAAAACCAGTTCAAAACCGTCATTCAATGCAAAATCATGTTATAGATTACAAGTTCAACACATTCTGGTATTTCCTTGTGAAAATACCAGTAGTTCTTGTGAACGACTAATACAATTCCCATATATTTTCTGGTTTCCTCAAGTAATGGATTAAATTCCCTGACTAACCCCTAACCCTGTGTCAAATTCCCCCCTCAAAATTCCATTACTTGGAGTTCAGTTCAGTTCTCGTGTTCAGATGCATACTTACAGACACACAAACTCACACTGACTTTCACAAATTCACAAACATCTCAATGGTCACTTTTATTAAACACGTGTACCTTTGCTCACAAATGTTTATTTCCAGTCTTTCTGTTCAGTCACTCAGAGCACTTCACTGTCATCACTGCATAGCTGACATACAATATTTCAAAGAGGGTCGAAGGTGGAGAGGATAATTTCAGACTCAATCAGTCATTATTTGCTTTCACAGATGTGATGTTTTAGATTTTAATTTTAGTCATTAAAGCTTTATAATCATTACCTTACCAACCACACCAGCTCAGTGTAATTCATTTTTCTATTTTGTGCCTCCCTGATGGATTTCAAGGGGACTCTTTTGGATTACTATATAGAACAAAAAAAGGAAGAGGCTGCTGATAGTTTGTCACTACAATAAATAGTGTTAGTGAAAGTCTGATTGGATTTTTGTTTTTCTTAACTAAAGCACAAAGACTGTAGACAAACACAGATGTGGCCACACATAGGTTACAGAGGGAGCATTAAAGGCTCTCTTGACTAGAAATGGTAAACTAGGTGGAGCCTGAATGGAAGTGAGGCGAGGTGAGCACGTAGCAGCTGAGCGTTGAAGACCTTTCAATCATGCAAATGACGTATTGCTAAATATGTGCTTCTTTAAACCTTAATTTATTCTCAATGGAACAATTATTGGTAAGATCAAGATTTAAATAAAGATTAGTCATGGAATAGCTGCTACTGATATTATACTGGTTTTTTTTTTTTTACAGTGTTTATTTCACATTGGATAATGATATTTTAAAGAGTAACTATACCCAGGTGGTAAATACTGCCTACTACATGCTGTCCACACCCTCTGCATTACAGTACTCCACAGTAGACAATTGTGCAACACTACATCACAGTTGGGTGAGGTCTCGAGCTCAGCTGATCACACCTGAACATACTGGGTGTTGTTCAAAGTGCACGAGACAAGAAATGTAGCGTTGCTTTTCCTCCATTCAGAATTCAGTGTGGAGTTACACACACCAACACACACCACCTGTAACACTGACACTGAATAAAATACAGTGAGTGAGTGGACCAACCTGCCTGTTACATAAAGGTTTCTCTCTCTCTGTTCTCGAGCACTTCGCAGAGCTTTTTCAGGCTTTCCTCTGTAATGCTTTGTGTTATAGTGCATGCGAAACAACTCCCAAACTGCAAAGGACAAACAACCTGAAGCAGAACTGAAAGTAGATGCAGTCTGTCCCTTTCTTACTTCTTTTTTTATTAAAAGAAGACTATTTTCTCACCCCAGCCATTGTTTTTCATTCTTCTTTCTCCACAAGTTTTTTTCTATTAACTCTTCTGCTCTTCTCCTCTTACCTGTTGTTGCACTGTGTAAACTACTAGCCGGTAACCGCCGGTCCCTTGGCTGCGAATCCCCTATTGACTTTGGTAAGAGAAGGGTTTCCTGGATATCACTGCTCCTCCCCTCCTCTTTCATTCTACACATTTGTCGCTCCGTTCACTAACGCGCTCTGATCTCTCCTCTCATCTCACCTCATCATGATTTTGTTTGATTTTACCTGGCGACGTGTCCGTTTTGTCCTACATTGAGATTGCTGTGGATTGTTTGAGTCATTGATGTGCTCCCGTCCCAAGGTGATCTTCCACAGTAAATGTTGTTTCGGTCACTTGCCCATACGTACACAGGCAGCTAAAGTGACTGCAGTTTTGTGTTGTAAGCTAACACGGATCATCTCACACTAATCCTACCGCATTTTTTCCCATGAGTTCTTGGGATGTTGTTTGTTTGATAAAAAAGTCAGTCTACTTTAGCTTGGATTAGAGCCTAAAACATCACAGATCTTTCTAGTCAAATGAGGCATGATAACCCAACGTAGTCAGTAGTGTAACTTCAGGCTATTTTTCTGTACACTAAATAAAAATGCATGAAGCATCAGTGTGATTTGATCTGTGTCGTTGCTGTGCAGCCACCTCCTACAGCTACACTAATTTCAGTATATGTGGCATGTTAAAATACTTTTATTGTCTCTTTAAGTAGGTAATCTAGGTAATTTGATCCAGGGGAGCTGTCGGCAGTCATTTTGGGGATTACTATACATCAGTTCACTTCACTTTCACTTCATTTTATTCATAGCTTAAACCACACCATTTCAGTTCGTATTAAAGTCAAATGAGAAAAATGCATTTGAACTGAAAGTGATGTTGCACCTGCACAGGCCAGTGTGCCTATTTTCTTGGTACGTTTGGGTACAATCAACACTCTGTTGTATTTTCTTCTAATTTCTTTTCAACCTCCCCTACTCGGCCGCTTCTTAATTGAGGAAACTATTGTATATTATATATCAATGCTGTAACCATGCCAGTTAACCACGATGCCCCATTCTGTGTACAATCTTTCAGGTGACTACGCTGGGTTTCCAGGCTGTGGCCTCCTGCGCCTACACAGCACTTACCGCCACGACCTGAAGATCTATGCCTCTGATGAAGGCAGGGTTCAGATGACAGCAGCTGCTTTTGCAAAGGTAACTCAACCTCCGTACCTGAAAGACTATACCTGATGTATACCTGAAGGCACTTAAAACACTTAACTGAAAACTTCTGACAGATCTCAGGGACAGAATATCTCTGAAATGAGACTCTTTTGCATCATATGCACCTTTCGTGACAGAAGGACTTACTGTACTGTAGTTAGGGGTTGCTTTCTTAAGTGTAAGGTATGTTCAGATTGGCCGCTGGACTTTTGACAAAATGACTGTGAAAACAGGCTTTTCTGTGTAAATACCCCAGGGACTAAGATTTTGAGACACTGCAGATCCAGAATAAAAACAATTAAGGTGCTTGAAACTTTGAAGGTTCCATACATTTTTTCCAAATCGTTAGGTTCTCTGATTTAAATATTAGGAGGAACCTTGATTCAGATTGACTGCAGCTGGAACAAATGAAGTTTACTCTGCATGTGGATGTGGATGTGGATTAAGAAGACATGTCACACAATGACCTCGGTTCAAGTTGTCCGCTTTCTCTGCAGGGTCTGCTGGCTCTAGAAGGGGAGTTGACACCAATCCTGGTTCAGATGGTGAAGAGTGCCAACATGAATGGACTGCTGGACAGCGACAGCGACTCTCTGACTGACTGCCAGCAGAAGGTGAAGGCCAGGCTGCATGAAATCATGCAGAAGGGCCAGGAGTTTACACAGGACGACTATCAAAAGGTGAACAACACAACAAATGTCTTGATAAGGTGCTCAGTTCAATGTATTTTTTTTCTTCTTTATCAGTAAGTTTCTATTCGTTCATTTTAAACAGCTGGACGTGATTCTCAAGTGTTGATTCTTTAAATATTTAAACTTTTCCAAAGATGTGAAAAAATTCTTATGCAAGTCTCTGTTTTGTTTTTCTATTGTGTCCCAGTTGGCCCCAACTAGCAGCCCATCGCTGGTGAACTCGATGAAGGTCATACAGAATCCAGTCAAAACCTGTGACAAGGTCTACGCCCTTATCCAGAGTCTCAACTCACAGATCCGCAAGAGACTGGAGGACCCCAAGTCTGCCGGTAGTGTGAACCTGCCATACCTGTGTACAGAAGAGAAAATAATCAGCTGCATTTTGAGAACAAACGATCCAAATGTTTTACTCTGTTAAAGCAGTGATATTTGGTTTAATCTATAATCTTTTCTCTGCATTAATTACACATAATCAGAAAGGTTCAAATGTGTCAGTGTAGTGAAATGTCAAGTATATTTTCAGAGACAATTACCTGTTTAAATTTAGACTGTGTTTAAAGATCATGAGATGAGTCATTCTGTGCTTTTCTGCAGACCTGCAGCTTTACCACAGCGAGACGTTGGAGCTGATGCTGCAGCGCTGGTCCAAACTGGAGAGAGACTTTCGCATGAAGAATGGCCGCTACGACATCAGCAAGATTCCGGACATCTACGACTGCATCAAATACGACTCGCAGCACAACGCCTCAGTCGGACTGGAGGACACGCTGGAGCTGTTCAGACTGTCCCGTGCCCTGGCCGACATAGTCATACCACAGGTTAAAGGAGAACATGTCATTTAGCTTTGTAGCACATTTCAGGTTTTATCTGGCTCTGTCTATTATAGTCATAGTTGTGGAAGATAGCATGCTTTTAACTATACACACATTTAACATTAGTACTGAATTTTTTTTGTTAAATTCAGATATTGAATTTACTGTAAGAGTTATATAACAGAAAGGAAAAACCTTTTAAATTATGTATTTAAATCATCTGGAGGAGTCTGGGAATGTTAACAAATGGGTCAGATTAAAGAATTGTACCAGAAAGCATTTTGCTGATGATTTCACACATTTATAATGGTGGTTGTGAAACCAACTATGATCCATTTGAGCATAAAGTCTTTATTGATTCCTGTAGCAAGATTAAGTGCTGCACCAAAACAAGTCGTCAGACTCTGCAGTGAAAATATAAATACTCTACAAAGTATGCAATAAAAACACAACGAAAGACTACATCAGTTTATATTTCAAGTGATACAGCATATTTTGGAAAATCACAGAAAAGCCCTTTATTAAAATAATTTTATATTAAAATGAGCATGAATGCATCACTTATCTGTGTTCCTGTGATGCGGGATAGTGACAGTGTTTCCTGGCCTTCTGTCCCAAAATATGCTAAGATAAGCCTCGATCTCCTCATGACCATGAATAAGTGGATTAAAAAGAAGTGGAAGTGTTTGAATGGCCTTTTTTCTCTTTCATATCATCTATTTAAGGAGTATGGCATCAGCAAAGCAGAGAAACTGGACATTGCTCAGGCTTACTGTGTTCCTCTGATGAAGAAAATCCAGCTGGACCTGCAGAGGACTCACGAGGACGAGGCAGTTAACAAACTACACCCCCTGTGAGGATACAAGCCACCACGGCAGCACACACAAACATGTTTATATGTACATAGACTATACCCATATAATATATATATATATATATATATATATATATATATACACATACACACAGAACCAGTACCTAATGCAAATACACACCACATACATACTGAGTTGACTGGAAGTCTTTGTGTCATTTCCTGTCCCCTGGTGTTCAGGTATTCTCGTGGTGTGATGTCTCCTGGTCGTCATGTCCGCACACGTCTCTACTTCACCAGCGAGAGCCACGTTCACTCCCTGCTCAGCATTTTCCGCTACGGCGGACTGCTGGATGTACGTTCTGATTTTATGGTCTCTGACCATTTTATTTTCCTCCAAGTGTTGCTGTTCATTCTCTCTGTGTCTTCTAAAGATGCTTTGCCACAATAAGAGTAGATCTAGTCATGGATGCTTCTTTTGAAGTTGCACTAACTACAAGCAGGTTAATGTCCATATAGTATGGGGAAACCTTTGGGAGTTGAAGTCACCTTGTAATAAATATATTAACAGAGGTCTTGTGGATGGGATTATAGACTGTAGTTTAATATAATTCATCATCAGAAATGTTTTCTACTGCATAAACTCCATTTGTTTTTTGTGTGTGTATCAGGAGGAGAAGGACCAGCAGTGGAAACAGGCAATGGACTACCTGAGTGCTGTGACCGAGCTCAACTACATGACACAGATAGTCATTATGCTGTATGAAGACAACAATAAGGTCAGCTTGCAAGGAGCTGTGTAACTGTGCAGCAGAGGTGACTGTCTCATTTATATCCTGTCAGCCTTATCACAGCAGTTTTATGTATAAATAGATTTCTTTGTCTGTGTTGTGGGCAGGACCCCTCCTCAGAGGAGCGTTTCCATGTTGAGCTTCACTTCAGTCCAGGAGTCAAAGGGTGTGAAGATGAGGAGAACGTACCTCTTGGCTTCGGCTTCCGCCCAGCTTCCTCAGAGGTGTGTGTTTGTCTGTTTCCTGCATGTTTCTTTCTCTTTAAGGGTTGTACAGTGTATGTGGCCCCCAGTTGGCATTCTAAGGTTGCATCCAGAGACAATCATTAAAGGTATTTGAAAAGAGTAGAATATCCTTTAAATGTCATTCAATTGATCTTTTAGACAATGGTTATGCATTTGACAAGACATGCTGTACCAGTTTGATGCAGTCTGTCTGTTTAGGAACATTGGATCTCATTGCCTTTATAAAAATGTGTGTTTTTGTTCTTTTTATGGCACATTATAAAAGGCAATTGCCTTCGTCCAGTGTTTTATAAAACCCCTGAAAAACATCCATTTAAAAAAAGGTAAAAAAAATGTGAATTGCTAAAAGTGGAGAGATTGCCTAATCTTCTCTCTACATGTACACAGTTTGATGGTGGTACATTATTACATTCAGAGGATTTATGCCTTTTACTGGGAAGTTGCAACTAGACTAGTTACTTTGAATTGTTGCACAATGACTGAGGACAAAACCTTTGAGAAAGTGTTGTGAAAATACATTCAAACATACAGTGTATGGTAAAAAATGGCATCCAACTCTGTCTGCAGGAAAATACTGCAGTTGCATTTTAATGTTTGTAAACATCAAGCATTTGTCATGTGCACTGTAATTAAACCTTCATGTTCTGCCACACTGGTATTCAGGCCAATGCATTGTGGTGGCATCTGTCTGTCTGTGTGAAGACACATTCTGTTGACTGTGTTTGACTCCTTAAAATTACAATACAGAAACTTGAAGCACGTTACTCTTGCAAGCAAAGTGTTTTCATCAGACTTTGCAGCATGTTTCTGTGAACATTGTGTATATTAGTGAGGAAAAGGTGAAAAAAGGGTAATATTGAAACAAATCTTTACATTGAAATATAGAGTTTGTAATATTCTGCTAGGGAAGAAGTGAACTATGTCAACATAGATATGTTTGTTTGGCAACATATGAAATGTCAATTACTTTCTTCTTGTGTCTTCCAATTAGAATCAAGACAAAAAGCCCAATCAGGGAAGTCTGGAGGACCTCTCCCAGGACCAGCCGGACCAGGCACTTCCTGTCTCTGAGCCAATCAACATCCAGCGAAGGTCCCCCATGATCCGCAACCGCAAGACAGGCTCCATGGAGGTACCAGACCATAATGTTGGTGTTTCACAAGTAGGCAGGATGTAGTGCTAATAAAGACTGGGTGTTTGTTTTAATTTTTCCACATAGTAATTCCAGTCTCTCTAGCAGTTTCCTTTATTCTTTTTTATATTAACAGTGTTATGGTTTTGTTTAAGTGAATGAGAGACATCAGGTCCCTGAGTTACTGTAGCAGCCGTCTCCATCTTAACCCCTGGTCTCCATGGCCCCACTCAGGTCCTCTCTGAGACCTCTCCCACCCAGTCCTCCAAAGGCTGCACATCCCACCGACTCTTCCCCTCGTGTTCACGCCAGTCTCCTGAGATCAAACCAACCAGTGGCCTAGGTGGGCACTTCATTTCTGGTGTGTGTGTGTGTGTGTTTTCTATGTGTGTGTTTGTGTGTTTGCGTGGGGAGAGAGTGAGTGTGAAAGAGAGAGAGGGGGGGGGGTTCCTGCCAACAGACACACTGACCTCACAACACATTTATCTCCAGCTGTCATCACTGATCTTCCCCCACATCACAAGCCCCGGCTGTGACTTCTCCCTCACCCTCCCACCTTTTCGTACCTTTTTCTGTCTCTACTTTCTCTCCTTCTTTCCATCACCCCCTCCCCTCTTTCCCTCTTTCTGATGGTCACATAGCTTCCACTGCAGCTTAGCAGCAGCCAAACAGGATCAGACTCCAAACTATGTAGGCAAGAGGTCAGTGGGGAGATTTAGGTTTACAGCCAACTGCAGGATCTCTGGTGTCACATAGTGTTCAGCTACGTACTGTTATCCCTGCTAGGTGATAAAGTGACAACATAGGGAACATACTGTAGGTGTTTTTATCTGTTATTTCTGAGGTCTTTACAGGAAACAAGCCAAACTTATGAAGATCAGACTGAATCATTAGACACTGCTTTTTGCCCTTTTTGCTTTTTATTAAAGTAAGTAAATAATATTGCAGAACAGACTGTGAAATGTAACCTGTCCTGATTCTGTACCACATACTAACTGTGGACAGTATGTACTATATACCGTCAGAGTACACAGTTTTTTCTGTTACCATACAAAACAGTGTACAAGGTACAATAGACCTTTTTCATAGCAGCCATTTTGACATTAAATACTAGGGTAAACACAGGTGTTACCAATGATACTGTTGCATTCAGGTCAAACAGTGTCAGATTGCTGCTATTGTGCATGTTGGCCAACTGGAAAGGCTCTGCTACACTAAATAGAATGAATTAGTGTAATTTGTAGCACTTGTGTTTCCCCCATTATTTCATGTCAGAATAGCTGCTGTGAAAAAGGTCTATTAACCATTTTCAGTTAGATGTTTGGGTAGTTCTTGTTGACCCCCTATCATGGTACACATAGTAGTGTTAAAATATATAAATATATAGTGTTAAAATGCCTTAAATGTTCCAAATCAGCTGAATCAGACATTGTTTTAAGTACTTTTAACCTCGCGGAGGACTCTGGTTTTGCTGTGTGTACAGTTTCCATCCACAGTAACCTCCAACAACCTGCTAACACAGTGACACTCACACAAGCATGAAAGCTTGTCGTCTGAATCAAGACGTGTGGAGAAAACCATGAATGTGACAACAGGGAGTGGAGTCACTTTTCTATCACGTGTGAATCACTGGTTGGAAACGCCCAGTGATTCACACATGACAAATTGTCTGACTGAAAACTATTTCTGCTCTTGTATTGAGTGCAGTTTATTTTCTTTGTTTGTTAATATATGAAAAAAATCTCACAATCATAGGTAATTATAAATAAATGCAACCAAGACCACGTAGAAATGCAGTGTGGGTGTGGTGCTACTTTTCCCTAAATGTGTTAATTAACCCGTCACTCAGTGTTTAGGTCATTATCACAAGTCTGCAAGCAGTAGTTGGTTCTGTGGCTAAATGAGCTCCATCTGAAGCCCCTCTGGGTATTCTCTGAGCGGAGCCTGTCAGTCTGTTATGTATAGTGTGAGGCTGTTTAGTGATCCCTCCCTGTTCATCACCAGCACCAACAACACTGACTGCACTGGTCACAAGCAAGAGCAGCATGTGTCAGGGATGACCTCTGTTTAGCTTTTCATACCTTCACACTGTTTATAGAACAAAGAAACGAGGCTCAGACACTGACGCCTTCTTTAAATATTTTTATTTTTGTGTCTGCAGTTTCAAAGATAATATTTCCTCTTCTATGTGGTCTACAAACTCAATATTCATTTAGAGTATTAGAATGAAAAATAGGATAAACGTATCAGAATTGGCTGTTTGGCATTCTCGCCAATAACAGAGGGTTTGTGCTCAGCAGGGGGTCTGAAATTATCTCATTTCCACACTTGGCCTGTTTGTCATGCCTCTGCTGTTTTTGCATACAAAACACACACAAGCTCTGTATGCACTCACTCTTGTTTACACATATACACACACATGCACAGGTCTTACAGATGCACTCACTGTTGTGAAAACCCTGTAGGTCACATGTTGTCATTTCCAGGAACAAATAGCCTCGTGAAAACAAGGATTGTCCATGAACCAAATTTAATTTATCATAAAATATTTTCTAAAACTGATTATTTTTTTCACAGCTGAAGTTAAAGGATAAAAAAAACTAACCTAATCTGTTATTACAGGGTTTTCACACAGGTTTGCATTATTTGAAATGTACAGACACTCACGCCATAAGTTTGTCATGAATAATGGCATGGTGTTTAATAAAAACTAATACTCCCCCTGCACCCCCCCCCGGCTCCTCCTCACACAGGCTCGCTCTGCTCTGGCCTCTTTAGTGCCTCAGCCCTTGGGGTGTCTTGTAGCGCACCCAACCTGCGGGACTACGTACGCACGCATCACCACCACCACCGAAAGCCACCTCTGTCACCGGGCAGTCTGCCTTGCCAGATTGGCATGTTTGGTATGTTCACACCACTGTCTGTCCTCCTCCACAAGGCAGGTCTTTTCATCTCTTGTCTTTCTGAGAAAGTCTCTCTTCCTGGCTTTAGAATATCTTCTTTTTTTTTCTTCTACTTTTTGCTCCTTAAGCTTTAGACACTTTGATTTTTGGGACATTTAAAATGACCACTTTTTTTCAAAATCAGAGCTCCCTTCTTTCTTCGGCTCTCAAAACAAACCAGAAAATTGCATCACATTTCTTGAGTGATTTATTTTTTTGCAGTGTGCATGATGAGGGCACTGATCTTACAGCAGTGTGATTGGCTGTGCAGCAAATGCTGAGCATGCAACCTTGCATTGGACTGTGTGATATATCACAGTGATCAATGTTCCTCCAGATCAGCATGTCCACTCACTGATCACACCACTGTCTGCTTGAGTTTGAATGTGTAGAAGTGTTCTCTCTCTGTGCATGTTGTTTTGGAGTTTGTACCATATCCTCTCCGAGAGGAATTTCATTTCATAATAAGTAAAGTAGTTTTTGTGTCTGGAAGCCAGAACTTTCATTAATCACAATTTACGGTAATCCTTACATTAAGAAACTCAGCCTGTTATTTGGAACAGAAATACTTTCAAAACCCAATAATCCACCTTTAAATAATCCCCAGTCACATTCTCCCTCCCCTACCTTTCCCCTCAGTCTCATGTTGGTAATGGTAAGTACAAGCAAGCTGTTTTTACAGCCACCAGGGGTCCTTATAGCAAGTTAAATTATCCCAAACATCTGGATTGGATATCATTCTCATGGTCACAGCTGTTTTAATTACACAAGTTTATTTAGTCCTGTCCAAAGATGAATGTGACACATTCTCAGTCAGCAGCAGATGATTTTATTGGCAAATAAATCTGCACAAACTGCAGGGAATACTTTTCCCACTGTTGGTTTTAACTGAGCTGTTCAGTTTATCCACCGGGTGTCACTCTGGCTGCAAGGCTAGACGCTGCCAGGAGCAAACAGATGCTTTCCTTTCTCAATTCTGTTACATCATGTTATGCTGTCTGAGAGACAGGTGAGGGTTTTGGACTGACGTCAGTGCTGTTCATTTGCGGGAAGAGAGGGCTGCATCAGGACAGCATATTGTTTTTTTGTTTTTTTTCACTGAAACGAAGAACTGGCTTGTTTTAAAACCTAAAAGCTCTGTTAGATGACTTCAGATACCCCTTCATCAATACCACTTGCCTTGTTACATATGCGTTCTTGTGAATGAATTAAACTTAATGTAATTTAACACTATTAATTATATAAAAGTGGATATTCTTAGAATGATTTAGTGATCTTGCATCTGGTACAAGAGACCAAACCTCTTAATATCTTTCCCACATTAGGTTTGGTCATGTTTGCATTGCTACTGTTACCACTTACAGTTGGTTGTTTCAACCATTTATTCATTACTTAAAAGCATCTATAATCAATATTCTTTTATTAACAGTGGATCACATGAAAGTATGTGAATTTTGAGAGCCGGGGTCCCTTCAGCTCTATGGGACATTATAGTGTCTTTCTGCTCATTGCTTAGCTGTCAGGCAGGAGGAGGTAGCTGTTTTCAGTGAAATTGCTCTAGATGCCTCTAAATGACCTGCTCAGCACCAAACAGCAGACAGACACAGTTAGAGACTAGCTGATGAACATAATGAATAATTTAGCTGCTTTTAGCAAGATATTTCCCACAAGATTTTGTGAGAAGACCAAAACCGAGCTAAAGGCGTTAATATTGAACTTACATTTTTCAGGTGGCCAGAAACATGATTAAGTTTTTGTATGGATTAAACGAATGACTTACTGGTGAGCTTTAGAGGTACAAGTAGGCAGATTTTGTTACATTTGGGCAGAGCAATGCTAGCTGTTTCCCTGTGTCCAGTCTTATGCTCTGCTAAGTGAACCTGCTGCTGTCTGTAACTTCATGTTTACCATACAGACATGAGAGTGATATCAATCTTCTCATCTAACTCTCAGCAAAAGGGAAGTAAGTGTATTTCCCAAAACGTCGAACTGTTGCTTTAAAGCTAAAAAGAAAGTCAATTGCCAAGGGAAGTAAGAAGGACAAGGAGGAGGTTTCCTGAGTAATGCCCTTTAGAGTCCAGCGTCACTCCTCCTGCATGTTTACTCTTCAGCCGAAACGTCAATCATTTACTCCATAAGCTCCACAACCTTTCCATTCGCTTTCTCTGTTGGCGTATCTCCTCCTTGTTTATTCAGAGATGACCCTCATTTTCACGCATGTTGGTTGGCAGACAGATATTGATGAATCGATAGACCAACTCTCTCTCTCATTCTGTTTTTCTCTTTTTTCCCCCCCATCATGTAAAAACACATACAAGCAAACAGGCAAACAGGCAGACGCAGGTACCAGCAGTCCCAGTAATACCAGTTACCTTTCTTATCTCCTCAGAGCTGTTCTCTATGCCGGCAGTAAAGAGATTTTCTGTGTCGTTTGCCAGGCATCCGACTAATGGTATGTCTGCTTTTATTCAAGTTCATTTTCGACACTCCTCCAGTTTTTCCTGTTATCTTGCATGACCTTTCTGTGGGAAAACATTTCCTGTGTTTTCTATTTTTTGGGGTTTGACGTTTGGCTGCGTTAATTACATTCAACGTCTCCAAGATTAAAAAAAATAAAAATAAAAAAATGTACAGAGTTTCTGTTTCACCACACACCCTCGGTGTTTCTTGTACCTTGTGTTGTTTTTGGGCCCTCACCTCTAACACCACCTGCTCTGCCTGCACCAGTTTAATTCGCCTCTGTGATCCTGCTGTTTCTTCACAGGATGGATGTATGTGGCTTATGTGGAATATATCCATATATTCTATCAATTATTATATTGATATATTTCCATGTGTAGAAATGTGTTCACATCGTAACATATCCTCACCTGCACTTTTGTTTAAATCATTTATTCTGTCAATCTCTTAGTTTGGGCTATACACATTGACGAGTAACCTTCTTTTAAAGAGTGGTTGAAAGTTTCCGTTCTTTTTAACCTCTGACAACGTCCAGCATTGGTGCACTGACACAACCACAACTTGTACATCTCTGCAAGTTAAACCAGGAGAGGAAACCCAAGATTTTCAGGAGGTGTTCTTTAAACTGCATGTGCGTCGATTTCCAACATGAGTTCCTCACAAATCTCAGCAGGAAGAAAGTTTTTTTTTTTTTTTTTTTTTTCCATTCATTTGTTGGATTGCGGCTTTATACCTACACACCCAACAAAGAGACAAAACAAGGGCGTGGTGTTTAACTAGAGTTACTCATCAGTTTGGATCATAAGAATCTATTTCCAGCCTTGGATTTTATTTTATTTTTTTGGTTCTCACATATTTAGTATCCCTTGCGATTTTATTTTATTCATCATATTTGTGCTACTTTACTAGCAATTCTTAGATGATTGACAAGAAATTAATTGGCCACTATTTTATTAATCATTTCACAAATTTTTCAAGCAAAATGCCAAGAACCCTCTGGTTTCATCTTATCCAATGTGAGAATTTGCTGCTTTTTCTCTGTTTTATATCACTGTTAATGGAAATCTTTGGGTTTTGGACTGTTGGTCCAACAAACAAAAACATTTGAAGTCGCCTTTGACTCTAAGACATCCTAATGGTCATTCAGCATTGTCAGATAGTTCACTTGTAAAACTGAGCTGTAGATACCACTTACTGGAAGTAAGAAAGATGCAGCAGCTAATCTAGTCATACTTCAGTCATACTTCAGTCATACTTCAGTCATACTTCGTCTCTAACACGTCTGTTTGTGAAAAGTTGTTGTTTTGTTTTTCTTGTTTGTTCAGTGTCTTTAAGTCAGTCACCTGTGTCTGTCACACAGCTAGCTCAAGTCTTCTTTTGTAAACAGCAGTTGTTTGGACTTTGAAAATTAATTCTTTACTTTCTTGAAACGTGTTTTGAGGCAGTTTAATACCACCACTTTATATGAGGAGATCATTCATGGAGAAGCTCACTGATGGCAGCCCCGCTGGCTCTCATAGACTGAGATGTGGCAAATTAAATGTTACTACACAGCGCAGGGCCGAACACATGTCCTGAAAGGTTATTTGGATATTACTGAATGGTATTTAGGATTTAGATGAATGGCTCAGAAACAGCCCAGCATGTGTTGGCAGTTTTATTAGTGCCGCCTGTACTTTAGCAGGAGGAATCCAAGCACCAGGAGGAATCCAAGCACCAGGATCATCTGACGTGTTGATGCAGAATGACAAGTGGAGTCAGTGTAATTCTGAAATCTGATATAACGTTGACAAGTGTTTGGACAAACCACTGGGAACCACAGGGATGACTGTTGGTAGGTTAGTACACATGTGGTGTGGCTTAGTGTCCGGTATTTAAGTTCAATATCTTAAGAAAGTATAAGATATCTTAATTCGTTATTGGAGGTGTCCGCACTAGTAAGAGGGATTAATACAATATATAAATCAAATTTGTTTATATTTCCCAACACATTTCACCTAATTATGCAGGCTGGTATTCCTTAGCTTTGTTTCTTTAGTTTGGCTTATAAAATACTCTCAAATAAAATTTCTAATTCTGTGACCTGCAGTTTCTTTGTTTACTGTTAATGATGATATTCCCTTAAAAAGAATATATGTGCTTAACATACTGTACTGTGGTTGTTTAAAGGGCCAGTGTGTAGGATTCAGTGGCATCTAGTGGGGAAATTGTAGATTGTAAGAATTTTTATACAGCTCGGCCTCCCAAGCCTGTAGAGGAAGCTATAGTAGCTACTGTAGAAACACGGCGGTTCAACATGGCAGACTCAATGAGTCACTCTCAGCTCTCTGTGTAGATAAAAATGAATAAAAACAAGAACCACTGCAAGGAGTAGGATTTTCTCTGGTTTTCTTGGACTACGGTTTTGAAAATGGTGTGCTTGAACAGCATTATAGTTGCCTCTAAGACCCTCTGGTTCACATGTTTTGTGAAGTAGATCTATGTTTCTGATGTGTTCTCACTGTTTCCTTTTTAAACCTGTGATTTCATAGATTGACTGCTATTGACTACTGCTGCTGTCTGTATTTGAACTCCGGTTATCTTCTGTTGTAACTTTGTTTGTTTTGAAATAGAAACAGTGGGATTGTGTCAGTTGTTTGTGAATGGTTGAGGCACTACTGTTGTGCTCAGCCATAGTCGGTCTGCTTCAGTCATAACTGAAAGGTCAGCACCGGTATTGATCAAATGAAGTCCAAGATTGAGACTGAATGTGCTTTCTGTGATGAATTTCTCTATTCAGACACACAGCTCCACAAATACAATCGGCTATCCTAACGCCACACTGCTCTTTTAGCTCTGTGCCTACCTTGCATAGCTCCTATCACTCCTCCTGCTCCTTCTTCTCCACTGTACTTTCTCTTCCTTTCTTCCTGCTCTGCCTCTCGTCCCTCAGAGCCCTCAGACGAGCTCCAAGTAGTCAAGCTGCTGAGGGGGCTTCCCGCTGAGCCGGCCCTGCTGGGGTTTGCCCCTCTGGCTGTGGATGGGGCCATGGCCCACCACCTTCGCCACTGTCCCTACCACCTCCGCCGCCTCAAGAGCTGGCTGATGTCTGGTCAGGAGCTGCCAGAATCTCTCCACGGTCAGCCTCTGTAGATCCCTCGTACTTCCTGTTAACTCCTCTTCCTCCCTCTAGCCCCATTAAGCCAGTGTTGGGGCAAGTGGGACACTGTTACTGCCATTTGAGCTTTGCATCTACTGTTATTCAACGCTTTACGTTTTTATTGGTCTGGTTGTCAGCCTGTGTATTTATCCTTTCTCCTATTCGCTTTGTCACATCTGCTGTTCCTATTTTTTCCTTATTATTTTGCATGTCTGCCAGAGGGCGCAACACTGCTGCTTTGGAAATCAATTTCTGTCTGCGTACTTAAACTCACAGTGAAACGGCAGTTGGCTTTAATCTTCAGAAATGTGACGTACTCTGAATCTCTAGGTTGGGTTTATTTACGAGATGAATTTGATCATTGAGAGCAACAGCTACGTTGCAGTTCAGCAGGAGAACAGGGGAGAAATTAATACATTAGACCTCAACCACCACCCATGATATACAATAGATTGTAGTTAACTACCATGTGTTGTACTGTAGGATTAGTTATTGGTGGATGTGTAATGTACCATCTATTTTGTCCATATTTATAATCTTGTATTGTCGCGTTTTATTTTATTATTTTTTTAAGATAAGATGTACCTTTATTGATCCCCGTAGGAGAAATTCAAAAAAAGTAATTTTTTAACATCTGGCCAGGGACAGCAGATGAAAAGTAGCCTTTTAGGCTGACACTGGCCTATTTAAAAAAATAAAAAAATAAATAAATAGCAGTCAAGTGCAGTTTTATACAAACAAAGGAGTTTGCTAGATGGCTTACATGTGATAACAGAGGTAACTGAACAATTAACACAGGACATAGGATTAAAACGTTTTCTTTATTTCACTGTGTCTTTAAGTCCTGAAGGGTATTTTGTCCTCCATCCTTCCTCGCTCATGATTGGACACATGTTGGGCCATTTCTGGAACTAGAAAAAGCTTCTTTATAATACAGTAAACTTTAATAATGATTTTTCAATTAAATGTTGAAATGAATCTGCACAAGGAGAACTAATTGCTCTACATGCATGCTGAGTGGACACTTGATGACCAGCCAAACAATCTCTTCTTTGGAAGAGTTTTGGGCTTGTCTAACTGCATTGTGTGCATGCTCCATCCTGAGCATTGGATTTAGAGAAAGAGCCTTCAAAACAGTGAGCTCTGTAGGAAACCGTAAGGCTGGGCCCTACTTTGTGCATCCGCTGACCGCTGCAGGCTTGTACCAGTCATACAGATACGCACACGGTTCCTTTCATAGTACAATTGAGAGTCTGCGTCAGTCTGGCATCCTACGCATGCACGCAGTGCTAAAACAAAGTGTGGTCTGGCTATTCGAGGATATGGATGTGCAGGTTTGTGTCTGTTTGACCGAGAGCGGGTCCGAGTTGCACAGAGGCACAGCATACAGTGTAGCACTCCCAGAATATGTTTCCTGGCCAGTTGGCAGATATTTGAGTGTGTTGAAAGATTTGGGTCGTCATCATCTCATCCCTCATTTTAATTGGCTAATTAAGTGGTGGTCTGTTCATAAACTGCTGATTTTGTTAGTGGAGTCTTGGCACATTGTGTAACCTGAACAGAGCTGGGCAAAGCTTAGATTGCAATCTGTAAAGTTACAGATGTTTTTATTTGCTACAGGCGTAGAGTAGATTGAGCTTTTTTGGCTTTGTCACATTGACTTCTGACTGTTTTCCTTTGCTCTTTTAAATATCACTGCCTTTTCTTTGTTGTGTTGTCTTTGAATGGTGCAGTGTATCCTTTGTGTTTTCTGCTCCCACTGCATCTGGTGTGTGAGCTGAATTTGATATCCACATGGAAAGCTTGCAGCAAAGATAGGGAGGAGGAAAAGGCAATAAATGCCATCTTATCTTCTAACATGTGAATATGCATTACACATCTTTGACGGACAGACTTTGAAGAAAAATCATACCTGCTTGGCTTAAACTGATATTACAGTCATCAAAGCTTTGGCAGAAAGACCTTTTCATGGTGAATAGGGATCCTACTTCTAATAAACAAAGCAGCTTTGGCCAACATCCAGTAGAAATTGTGTTTAATGATTTCTAAATGCATCCTAAAACCAGTTGTGTTCTTGTGTATAAAAGGTTTGTAGGTACAATGAGCAGATCCACTAAATTAATATTATTTACTTATTTATTTTAATTATTATTTACCCCTTTAGGCCTTGACTGGTTCCTGTCCATTAAGTGCTGACTGCAGTTTGTTCCGCTTGTGTTGTTAAATTAGAGAAACTGTTTTATGGAGTAGTGGAGGACAAATCTGTAGTCATAGCACATTAGTCATGGAGAAATGCAAGGCTGACCAGCATGCTCTCTGGGGATATGGATGAATTGGAAGCGCTGCTTCAACGTCCATCCATTCCCTTTTGTTTTTTCTTCATGGTTTTGCTTCATCATGGTGTTCTTTGTCGGGCTGCACTGAATGACTATTTGAGTGTTTGCTCCAAGTTTGTGTACAAAACTCAGCTTGCCATAGCACAGTCGTGTTTGTGTTCTAGCAGTTCTTTCTCAGCTTATCCTGTACACAACTTGTCATTTTATGAAAGTTATATGCAGTACATGTATGAATTAATCTATATACCCTTTTAAGATGGGGGTTGTGGTCAATTCACTTCTAGTCCATTCATTTTCAAAACTTTATTGCAATACAATTGATCCTTAAGGAGCAAATTTGTGTTACCTGCCTCATCATTAAGGTCAAAGGTCAGAGTCCACTTCAACTTATTGTCTCATTCAAGGACACTTGAAGACCAGATTTGTTTTTTTAATAGAAGGTGGAAGTGTTGTTCAAAAGCCTCTTTAACCTCTCTTGAAAAACATGATGTTTAGGCCTTGTCATTTTTATAATTAATAAATTAATTATATTAAATTTAATATAATAATAATTCTAACCACCGCTTTTTGTATTTTATATCCATTAAAAGATTATCATATTCAGCGAACACAATGTGTCTCACTTTGTCAACATGGTAAAGTTAATGAGTGAATTGATCCACACCCGCTTATATACATTATGTGAGACTCTCCCAAACAATCAGAACATACCATATTTGTTCATAAGGTCCTTTCTAACCGAAACAGGAAATGAACACCAGACATATTGCGATTCTGTTTGTGTACATTAACTTTGGCTGGTAAGTTTGTGTAGTGCAGCTACTGTCGAAGGCCAGACAGTAGGTAAACTGTACCAGCCACTGTAGAAGGTAACAAGCCACTAATTTTTAGATCGTACAGTAGCCTAAATGTCTGTATGGCTAGTTAACAAATAAAAATGTCTGCCAGATGTCGGGCCCTGTCAGTATGACATTGAGAGAATGAGCAGACACCTGGAGGACATCCAACATGCACAGAGAGAGAGCAATAGTGTCACCACTCCTCCTTCTCTTCCATCTGATGGAGAAGTGGTACGATCGGATGTGTTTCTGTCTCTCCTTTCTGTGCTGCAGGGTTTGAAGGCTGCTCCATGGTGCCCTCTATCTACCCACTGGAGACGCTGCACAACTCACTCTCACTGAAGCAGGTGGACGAGTTCCTCAACACGGTGTGTGAGAGCAGCAGCGAAGCCCATGCCAAAACCATGAAAGGTAGGCCTGCATAGTGAAGCAGCAATAACTATTGTATACCTGCTAGTCTGCCTTTCTTTAGTTTAGTTCTTCACCAGTTATGAAATGGAGACTAAAGCTTTTCCAGTTCCAGTGCAGCAACTATTTTAAACACATGAAGTATGCCAATTTATTTCAAATTATTGAATTAAAAGAGAGGTGCCTTTGCAGATTCTGGCCAGGTGAGAAAAGTGTTAATGTTATTAATGTATTTGTAAAATGTATCTTTTTTAATCCTTTGAATCCTTTGAGCTATTTTGTAAGATATGTTTGCTTTAAAACTTCTATTATGAGGTGCATTTTGAGTATTTATGATTTAAAATACAGGCAGTCTTGCTTGGACATTTGTTGTTGTGATGTAAATGATCATGTGATTCACAGACTGAAGGCAAAAATTCCTCAAGACAAACAAGAAAATGATGAATGAATGACACAGGAACATCAGGGAAGATGCAAAGTGCTTAATACTCTGACCAAATAGTATATTTGATGAATATTTACGTTGATTTTAACTTGTCCTATTCCTTTCTGTCCCTTTTTTAAAATTGAGGTCTATGTGCTAAAATTCCTATAATCCTGATGTGATACAGATGTTAACACCCGTATATTAATGCTTAAAGTATTAATATATAGGATACGCTAGAGTAGAGGCAACAGCAACTCTGGAAGTATCAAATACTGCACTGTGGTTCCATTAAATAAACTGAACTCAGTATTATGACCTTTGGAAACTGATCTCAGTGTTGTTTTTCCCGTCTTCACTACAGCGCTCTCCAGCCTGTTTGACTCCCAGAGCCAGACGTCTCTCTACAGCCCTCAGCAGCCTCTGTCTTCCTCTGGATCTGAAACATCTCTTCGGCCACCGAGCCAGCCGCTGTGGCGTGAGTGTTTAAACGATTTGTTGACATATGCAGTATGCAAGGCTGCTTCTATCTCTTCTGATACATGACTTTTGGTGCTGGGATTGAGAGCTCTTACTGCTGTGTGTGTGTGTGTGTGTGTGTGTGTGTGTGTGTGTGTGTGTGTGTGTGTGTGTGTGTGTGTGTGTGTGTGTGTGTGTGTGTGTGTGTGTGTGTGTGTGTGTGTGTGTGTGTGTGTGTGGTGTGTGTGTGTGTGTGTGTGTGTGTGTGTGTGTGTGTGTGTGTGTGTGTGTGTGTGTGTGTGTGGGGTGGGTGGGTGGGTGGGTGGGTGGGTGGGTGGGTGGGTGGATAGGAAGAACACTGGTTTTAAAACCACATTCTAGCAGGTAAAATCTACATGTATCTCTAAGTGGACACTATAATACATTTTTCATTCATATACTCTCACTGCTTAGTGGCTATCAGTTTCAGATTCTGCCTCAAACAAGGCTTTTAATCCTCCCATAGAGCCGATCTGCGGTCAGACCCAGTCACTGCACTGAGCAGCTCCCATGTGTGAAAATTAGTAACTGTACGACAAAGTGATGCTGAAAAAGCCCATGCATGCTCAGCAAAACCTGGATTAAGATAAAAAGGCCTTCTGCACGACCTTCAGGTAGATGGTAGCAGATGTGACCTGATGGGCTTTGTTTGTCTGCAATGACCTTGTGGCTACAAATACTAATAGTATCATATCAAACAGGCCACATATTCAGTCCCACATCAGCTAAAAGGTATGTGTCCTTGAACCAGGCTCAGAACTCGTGCTGCTAATGGCTAATTTCATTTTATTTATGATTCTGTTGAGAATTGTTTTGATGAATATATAAATTATTTTTGTGAAAAAGAGAACGCTTTGCTCACAGCGTGTTCTGCAGACCTGTCGCGGCTGGCAACGGCAATATAATTGAGGAAAAAAAAAAAAAACAGTGTTTGTGAACATAAAAATATGATCAATTACGCAGACTCGGCAGCCTCATGAAGAGGTACAATGGGCCAAAAGGCTTTATATGTAAAAACAAAACAATTCATGTACTAATCAGTGATGGCAGACTGTTTGGTTGTTTTTTTCCAACATTTATTTTTAGTTTATGTATATTTTCTTTCAGTTCATTGTTTTATAAACAAAAATGATGAACTGACTTGGGATTCTTTTATTAACTGATGATTACAGAGCAAGAATGAACTCCTAAGCTTTAATGATTAATTGTTTATCAAAATTGTTGGAGATAAATTAGATTCAAATCAATTAAATGCTTCACTGCTACTCTGAACACCAACTTGAATGACCATACATTTCTCTGGGTAAGAGCATGATCTAGACTAATGTGCATATTAGGTAAGTTGGAAGTTGGGTCTTCTTCCTGAACCACCTCCTTTTTTTTTTTTTTTTTTACAAAATTAGCTGTATTTTAGTAAACACATTTAAAGAAAAAAGTCCCCTCAAAAAGTCTAGAAACTATCATAGAAGCTGAATAAGAGCAGGATGTAAATGTATGGCAGGCCACCCTGTGGGATCAGTTAGAAAACTAAACTAAAATAGGACTCTTGGAGAACATCACAGCCCCTTTAACAACTGAGCCCCTCCTTTTTAATGTCGAGGGTGGCCTCTTCTCCTCCTCTCCTCTTTTCCTCAATCTGTTCTTTTTGTCTTCTTTTTTGGCGAGGTGATTCATTTATCCTCCTGCCAGCTGATTGATGAAGCGTCTACTGTCCTATATTTCTAGCTCTCGTGCTTCCACCTTTCTCATCCACCACTTGTGTATGTTATTTGCATTGTGCGCACTTTGGGTGGCTTTTTATCTCTGTCTTCCTCCATCCTGTCAGTACCTGCTCCAGATCTGGGTTGCCGTGACAGCCGATAACTCATTTAGCCTCATTTATCACACGGTGTGGAGGCAGAGATGGTGGAGGTTACATCAGGATGAATATGACACTTGTTCTGCGGATGGTGTGACAATGTTTGTTCTCCTATTGGCTGTCCTGCAGTTACAGTCCTGTGTCACTCAGACAGTCATTGAGAAAACTGAAGTGTGAATCATTTGTAGTGGAGGCACTGTCGTGGGTGTAAAATAGCCTTAAATGTAAATTATTATATTGACTAATGAATGCACTACAAGTAATCTTAGTCTAAAATGATTAGAGTATATTTTAGATACACACATTGAGGTACATGTGGCATGACTTATGAAACCCCCCCAAAAACTGTGTTTATAAAGTTCTCCATGGCAACAGAAGATGAGGTGGTGAGGGGATGATGCTGTTGCTTTCCTGTTTTTGTGCCACATCACTCCCTCTTTGTTCAGTTTGTGTCCTTCCACTTGATGCACACACAGTAACAACTCACACTCAGACCCAGGGTGGCGTAAGGGACAGCAAGTAATGAGATTAATACTTCAATAAAATGTAGGTGTTGTTCCAGGGAATTAATCTGTTTTCAGGTTGAGGTCAGAGTTATTTTGTATGATCTGTGAGTGCATTAACAGAGATAATTGACTGAATTGTATGTGGTTTTTTTTAAAGATGGTAGTATCCCCTCGAGTGCTGTATCCAGTGCAGGTCCCTCCTCCCCAATCACAGAGAGCTCCGGCATGAACTTCAGCTTCAGTGAGTAGACGGTCTGTCTGGAAAAACACAAGGACTTTTGGGTATCTAAGGGCACAATCTGAAGACTTGTTTGTCTGCCTCTCTGTGCTTTCATTCATCTTTTCCCCTGCCCTTCTGCTCACATTCACAACAAACACTGGAGGGGATGCTGACTTTGGAGCGAGTCCAAGCAGTCGGACTGTAAATATAATCACTCAAACTGTACACGGACTCTTCTGCTGCACCCTTCGTACATCTGATCACAACACCCTCTCGCTGGAAAGAGACAACAAACCGGACCTTCAACAGTGTCACTCATCTGTCACCACGTCCGTCCTCCTCTTCAGTTTGCCGACACATTCACAAACCAGCTCAGACTGAGTAACAGTGCTTCGAGCCAACATTCACACCGGTTGTGCCTTTAGTTTAATTTGGATGCTGCCTATGCCAAAACAACAACAGTGCCTGCTGTTTGTGTTCTACTAAATGTATGACACACAGCTGTGTCAGTTTTGACCTTAGACATGTACGACTGAAATGCATTACAGACAAAGTGTTAACTGTCACTGATTTGCATTTGAAATAGTTTTATTTTTTCATCCTCACTGTTTTGAGGCAGAAATGTGGCTGGCCAGTCGCAGCCAACACTGACACAAAACAGGGAGTTGTTTTTTGAAATTCAAGTTAAATTTAGTACTTTGATGAACAGTCTGTGGTGTGTTTCAGCTGCTAATGTCTGTAAAAAGGCTGAAAGTTAAAGCCTAAAGGAATAGTATAGCAAAATACGCTTATTCCCTTCTTGCAGACAGTTGAGATGAGATGAAAAATACCACTCTCATCTGTCTTAAATATGAAGCTACAGCTTGCAGCCAGTTAGCTTAGCTTCATTTTGCTTCATATTTAGCATATAGACACGAGCGGTATAAACCCTTTCATCTAATTCTTGGTGAAAAAGCAAATAAGTCCATTTAAGACTATTCCTTAAAAAATATATACACATTATTGACCACTGCACACTTCTGGTTTATAAAAGTGAATCTGCTTGATGAGGTTGCAGAATAAATTCCTAAAGAATGGACCTTAATCTGAGGCTATTCTGAACATAAATCTGATATATGAAGATAAACATCATGCAAATATCGGGCACTTTTATGATTTCAGAGATTACAAACTGATTAGTCTTGAGAGGATTTTAAAGTTATACTTTGGCCCGCTTTGGTACCTGCTACAGTACGTTCAGTTTACTTCATACAACCAAAATAACAAGACTCCATTTTGAGATACAGGTATTGTAAATGTAAAGTGTAAAACCCGAGCCAGCTTGATCAAACTGTATTAGTCTTTTCAATGGTAGTCTGCTGTTCAGTGGAAACACAATTTATCTGTAAATGTGCCTCTAAATGACTTTAAGAGAAATATTTAAGAGAGTATTGTAGACACTGTGGGTTTCCTGCTGTATTTTTATTATTTTGTAGGGGTTTACAAATCACAATTTATTTCAAGAAGATCTGTGGTATAGTAGTATTTTGGAATTAAAGGGAAGAACCACTTGATTAAGTGAATAGTATACATGTACTTTTACATAAGGACGACTACCTGTTTGTGTCTGCTGTCACACCAAATTACATGTTTATTTTAATGTTGAATTAATCAAATGATTATTTCTAATGATTTAATGAGGACTCAGGTAGATATATCATGAATCTACAGATGGAAATTAGTTTTATCAACATTTGACTGAACTGGGGGTCAAGTCACTTTCAATTATTTTGAAAAGGAATAAATTCAGTGGTGAATTTAGTAGTTTACGCTTCAAAGAAATACTTTTATTACTTTGACCAAAACTTTATAGTATTAAACCTCTACCATAAAACCAAGACCTGAGGTTTTATTATTGTAGAGCACCATGATTATGTTCAGGCAGTTTTGTCTGCGACACCTATGTATAAATGGGAGAAATAAAACAACTCCCTGTTCATTTCAAGCTGGTTAAATTGCAAATGAACTGACCCCCAAAACCTAGATACACCTCCTGTAGAACAAATGTGTGTGTATGTATATATTTTTTAGTCATCATGGGAAGAGTTTTAGTTTTAGATTTGAGAAGCACTAATGATTTTTTTTAAACCTAACAGTGGGTTGATGTAGGTAATTTTAGTTGTGTATTTATGTGATTATTTAATGTGCTATTTAATGTCAGCCAAAGAGGTGTGTTTTATGAGTTTGGCTGCTGGAGAACAAAGTCTAGGTTTAATGTGTGTAAGAGTTCTGTCGATCTCTTGAGGTTCAGGTTGGGCTGTAACGGTGGAAAGAGGAAGATGAATAGGGGGGAGGGTGGATGGGCTGGGGGGGAGTAATAAAAAAATCCATTAAACAGAGACCGCATTGTTCAATATGTTATCAAGTGTGTGTCTGTGTCTCTCTGTGTGTCTGTGTCTCTGTGTGTCTGTGTCTGTCTGTGTGTCTGTGTCTGTCTGTCTGTGTCTGTCTGTCTGTCTGTGTCTGTCTGTCTGTCTGTGTCTGTCTGTCTGTCTGTCTTTATAAATGGCCCACAGTCCAGACACATAAGCCTGTTATTGCTCCATAAACAAAGCTCCTTGTCACCGCTCTGCCAACACACCTCTCCCTCCACGTCTCCTTTCCCCTCCCTCTCTGTTTTTTTTTTCTCCTTGTGTCTTCTCCTCCCCTTGTCTCTTTCCCTGTCTCATCTCCTCTCCTTATTAGAGAGAAAAACAAGAGGAACATAGGAAAGATCCCCTCCTCTTCTCTTCCTTAATCTTACCTCCAACCCCTTATTCTCCTCTTTTTTCCTTCCCCTCGTCTTTTTTTTTTTTTTTACCTCACCCCATTTCTCTCTCTCCTCCTCTTTCTCTCTTCTCGTCTCCCCACTTCCCTCCCACTCCTCTCCTCTCCAAACAGCTCTTAAGAATAGTGATGACTCATGCCTCCCTCTATTGCTCCCATGCGTTGCCATGACGACGCCCCCAGATGTAATTGACTCCTCCTGAGCAACGCTGGGTGAATGGAGAGAGGGGGACAGACAGAGACCGCCGACTTACCGGAAGCCAAAAGCTGATGTCATTTATTCTGTCTGGACGGCAAGTCTTTCGCTCGGCTTTATTTCCTGCGTGTACACACACACACACACACACACACACACACACACACACACACACACACACACACACACAAATGTCTTTTCAGTCTGTCTCCATCAGCTCTTCCAGCCACACACACTTTTAGTTACAAACCCTTCTCTCATGCTTCAATACAGTACAGTAGCTACTTTCATTCACAGTGCTCAGACGATGACTGAAGGTAGTTTTGTGACCTTTATCAAGTTGTACTCACTGTAGCGGAGTCAGAAAGGGAAAAAATATATCATTAATCCAGCTGCCTACAAACATTTTACAGCTCAGTCTTAAGAAATGTTATCAAATACAATGTTTATTGAAAAGGCCAGTAGGTCTCTACAGGTGGAGACCCACTGGATGCTGTTTATGGCCCTATTTGGTGGCTATTTAAGTCAAATGCCCCCACAAAACATTGTGGGACAGCAGGTGACCTGGGATTAGTCAAAAGCTTAAACAGTTTAAATTTCTGCAAGAATATTCTGTACTATCTGTGGAGGAGATGATGATTATTATTATAGTAGTTTTAAATGATGCTTGTCTCCATGATTACAGATAAATTATTGGAGAAAGTTATATATAGCTTAATTACATAATGTATATTAATGTGTGAGCTGCCTGCTATCTTGCGAGTGTTGATGCTAGAGGTGGAAATTATTCTCATTTGACTGATTTGAATAGTTTTATTCAGGTCAAGATTCATAGTTACTATGTTGTTGCTAAGTGGTTGTATTTCCTTTCAACTGCACTCCAGTAGGTTCAACAGTAAGCGAATGCGTCGCTGTTCAGGTGGCTGAGACATTTGGTGCTGGTTTCACTAGTTCACTAGTAAGTTCAGTATGTTGCTGGTTCGGTACAAAACTAGTCCCATAGCAGCCTTTATTTATGATTTAAGACTGAGTTGTATCATTGTTTTTCCTTCTGTGATGTTTGCTGTCTTTTAATGAATAAGTAACATCTTGTGTGTCACACCTGAGCTGACAACAGTGCTCTCAGTCACCAGTGTGAGGAGCTCCACTGCTCAGCGCTACTGAGTGACAATGAGTCAGTTCAAGATTTGTTGTTGTCTTGCAACAAGTGAGAAGTGGTGGAGGGGATGTTGTCTTACCAGTGTGTCTCCACCAGGCAAAGATTGAAAACTATTACAAAATATCAACATAATAACTTCATCAGCTTTCCGTTTTATTTATATAGTTCAATATCACAAATTTGTCTCAAGGATCTTTACGGTCTGTACAGCATACAGCACCCTCTATCTTTAGACCCTTGATTTGGATTTTAAAAAATTCTTTAACAGAGAGTAAAATGGGAAGCAAGCAACAGAGGAGGGATTCCTCTCCCAGGACAGACTTGCAATAGATATCGTGTGTATATAAACCAAAATAGCAAAATTAGAATATGGAAAATCATGATGATAATATTATAGACAGATTGTAAACTACATTTTTGAGAACATTTTTGTCTTAAAGACAAAAGCTGCTTCTAGCTGCTTTAGGGAGGGGCGAGTAGATAAATAAGGTCAAGATATTTATAACACCTGCACTATATGAATGAGGTCAAATATAAGATTAAAAGATTAATTGGGTGTGCTCTTGGCATGATATTCTGACCGCTGGAAATAAGATAAAAACAAAAGTCTTAAGAGATAAAGGTGGAGAAATAGAAAAATAAGCCACAGACTGAAGTTTACAAATCTTTTCCAATCTGCTCTAAAAATCCCTTTATGCCTCCTCTTAGCTCTTACTTCATTCCTTCAGTCACATCTCCTTTTACATGTGTGTTTTCAACTGGAGGTCACTGTGTCCCAAACCACTGACTTCCTTCCTGCTGTTCAGTGACTTAGCTTGCACTCAGCTAATGGCCTGAAATACAAATGCAAAGAGAGGAGTGGGAGGAAGAGACGAGCGAGGAGAGTAACTACTAGTTGTGCTGATGAGAGAATTACCCTCATCTAGTCTCCATCCAAACCCCGACAGGAAGGCAGGAAGGTGTCTAGTTAGACCTTGAGTGCCACTTCCACACCCACGCCTTGTCCTCAACTCCCCCATAAAGCCTCTTCTAAAGTCAAAATGTGTCGTCATGGTAACCGGTGGAGGGCTGCCGAGGAGAGAGGGGACTTGTTTTGCCTGGCGATGTGGCAGCCGAGCAGCAATGTGTGGGCTTGGTCACCCCACTAGAGACCCAAACTGCATATAATAGCATATAGCGTCCAAGGTTAGAGGGACTGCCAACACGAGAGAACAGGCCAAATTTGTTCTTTCTTTTTGTATTTCACTCTTTTTCTTTCAGAGTGAGAGGTTGGAGGCTGACACACTTACTGCAGGGGAAGAGAAATTAAAATGAGATACAAAGATAAATTAGGACCCATTCATCACCAGCTGAAATGAATGCAGAGTGTGTTACAGCTGCAGGTTGAGGTGTGGATCCATCAAGTCCAAATTGATCTGTTCCTCCCATCCCTCAGGGAGTGTGGAGTTGATGTTTTTTTAAAGTTTACTGAGTTGTTCTCTTTCCCTCACTGCTGTAGTCAAAGATCTGTAAATATCAGCTGGGAAACTGCTGAGGGGGAGAGTGAGGATCGAGCAGCGCTGCTGAAGCATAACTTCTCTTTCATCTTTCCACCTGACAAATCAAAGCCGATCAACACACTGACCGAGCCTGTTGTCTCCAGCGCTGAAGCAAACGGCTCATTTCCACACCTCAAACACAGATTTACTGCAAACTCAGTTTTGTACAAGACTATTAAGCTTTTATTCACAAAAACCTGTGAAGGTAGGATTTTTTTTTTGGGGTGGTGGTGTTTAATGTTTTGTGACAGATGGGATTCATCTCATAAATCTGAAGCACAGGACTTAAAGGTATTTCAAAGTTTGGCAGAAACAACTTTACGGCTTTATTTTTAACTACTTATAGTTTTTTGTTTCCGAGGGCAGAAACAATTTAGGAGACAAATGAAGTAATAAGATAAGACATTTGGTTTTTAGCATAATGACTTCTGTTTCTGTCATTTTTAAAAGATAAAACTGATGGAAAGGTCACATTAAAGGTCCAGTGTGTAACATTCAGGAGGATTTATTGGCAGAAATGGAATATTATGGCGCCCGGATAGCTCAGTGGGTAGAGCTGGCGACCCACGTACCGAGGCTGAGTCCTTACTGCAACGGCCCAGGGTTCGAATCCGACCTGCGGCCCCTTGCTGCGTGTCATCCCCTCTCTCTGTCCCCCTTTTCCTGTCTATCTTCAGCTGTCTCTATAATAAGGCAATAAAAAAGCCCCAAAAATATATTTTAAAAAACTATTATATTCATATCTATATGAATGATGTTTTCATTCTTGTATAATCACCTGAATCTAGGATTTTTTTTTCCCCTTAGATTGAGCTGGCCTTGCCTTCCATGAATCCGCCATGTTGAACCGCCATTTTATTATTATTATTTTTTTTTTACAGTAGCCCAGAAGGGACAAACAAACACTGGCTGTAGATAGGGGCGTTCACGTTCTACATACTGGACCTTTAAGCCAAAATTCTTTAAACTTAACAAGAAAAAGTGATACACTGGTGCACTAGGAAGTTTAGTCTTATAGCTGTGGATAAGTGAAGAAGATGATTAGTGTAGTTTTTGTTTCAGGGGGCAGAAACTGTAAAAAGACACAAGTTGAGAGACATTGTTAATGAAGTAAAGTAACACCTTTGCTTTTAAGTATAATGACATTTTTGTCACTTTTACAATCATTCATTCATAAAAGTTGTTTCAGGCTTTGCTTTGGGCTAAATGCTACAGTCAGCATGCTAATATGCTCACAGTGACAGTGGCAACATGCTGATGGAAATGTATTTGATCATAAACCAAAGTATTGGGCAATTTAAGATTTTAACCCAAAGGCCTTTTGCCTTTTTGAGGCAAGGGGGTTGTAATCTCCAGCTGTACCACTAGATGTCACTAAATCCTTCACACTGGTCCTTTAAGAAAACAAAACGAGTCTGAAGGCTTATTTGCCACTTGTTCCCCAGCATGGTAAAGTCATATTTGGTCCCTAAAAACAAATTTTCTGTCCACCAGCTGCAACTAATCACACTTAATGAGAACGCCCAAATAAAGCAAAAAAATAGGATTATTATTATTTATTAATTCAGGCATATTCAAATTATTATACACTAATGAAAACATAACAATGGATATTATATTCTAATAGATCCTTCTCCACATTGCATATAGAGTTTGTATTATTTTAACAAAGTGAAGTAT